CTCTTCAAATACTGTTCCCGTATGTCAGATATGTTGTTAGAATTAAATGTTTGTCTTATTTCCTATTGTACAGTGCTGTTATGCTGGCGCTGTATAACTAATTGTAATAGAAATGGTGTCGCTTTGTTTTGAGGAGCGAACATTTAGTGAACTGCTATATTTTCTTGGGTAGCTAGGGGTCGCTCTTTAAGCATGCAATATAGTGGTAACGTTAATATGTTGCAATGAAATCAGTAAGAATTTTGTTGTAAAGTGTCCTGCTGGAGTCTATTGGTTGCAAGGTGCATACCTTGTAGCAGATTATAACAAAAGTAATCAATTACTTGAGTGACAACTTAACTAAATTATAGTGGTTCTCTTCAAATGTAAAATTTACTGAATGAGTTACGTGTACTGTGTTCTTAGCAATAGGGAAAAGGTTTCATTTTCCTCAGGTTAATTATTTATGAACATTGACAATGAAAGGTTTTATCGGATATTGGATAAATGTATTTTAATTATGTGCCTTGTAGACGTTATATGCACTCTACAGTTGTAATCTCCTAGTTACATTACCTCACATTGTTTGTTTTAAAAAAAAAAAATGAATTAATTGATTTATATAACTGCTTATGACCATTTTTTGCCATTCTAGTTGGGATTTTATGATATATGTAAATATGTTTTTTGAGGTTGTGCCTATTTGTTTATACTGAGGCTTACGTTACTACAGACTGTGCAGGTGGTAATTTGTTTGACTTCAATGATATGTCGATAGGAGGCGTGTTTGAAATTGGGTATGGTATTCTCCTGGTTATACAGGAGCTCCTTGATTGTTACTGTTACTGTTGGCATTCTGTTACTGATAGGGAGAAAAATGATCAGTTTCCTGTATAATGAATAATAGAGTATGTGTGGTTTAAAGGCACGATACGTGTCTATAAAGGAACTGAGGTCTGTTATTTTGCTCCCATGTATTTGCACTTTTTGATACAATAAAGCCTTTGAACTACTCGGATGTACTGATGCAAGATTATTACAAGGTTACCCCAACCACTATGACCACTTCAGTGATTTGAAGTGGTGATGGTGGTAGGAGTCTGAATGTGCGGTGTTTCTGCTTCAAACACTGCACCTTCAGAAATATTTGCACTTGTGTGCCAGGGGCTAGTTACAACCAAGGCAGATGTTAATAAAGCTGCTTAGAACTCTGTTCCCTTCCACTGTGCACTTTCTCCTCCCTCTCTCCTTTGCGTGTATTTTTTTTCTTTTAATTAGACTTCCCTCCCAAAATACCTCCCTTCACTCAGATTGTGCCAATGGAAGAAGGTTGCCTGGTCTTGTAAATCATGCTTTCTTTTAGATCAGGTGTATGGCAGGGAGTGTGTGTGTCATGTACGTGGGGAAGAGATGGCAGCAGCATACACTATATGGGAAGAAGGCAGGCTGGGGGGGCAGTGTTATGCTCTGGGCAATGTTCTGCTGAGAACCCTTGGGTCCTGGAATTCATGTGAATGTTGCTTTGGCATGTACCACCTACCTAGAGATTGTTCCAGACCACATACACCACTTCATGGCAATGGTGTTTCCTGATGGCAGTTGCATTATTCTTTTCAGGATGATGCACCCTAGAACACTGGAAAATTGTTCAGGAATGGTTTGAGGAACATGACAAAGAGTTCAAGGTGTTGTCATGGCCTCCAATTTCTCAACCCAACTAAGCATATGTGAGATGGTGGAGGCCCCACCTTGCAAGTAGCAGAACCTATAGTATCTGCTGCTTATGTCTTGGTGCCAGATACTACAGGACATGCTCAGAGGTCTTGTGGAGTCAATGCCTCAGTGCATCACATCTGTTTTAGTAGCATGTGGAGGAACTATACAAACATTGTTTTAATGTTGTGGCAGATCCAGTGTATATTATACACCTAAGTTATCACAGATTCTTTTAATCTGTTGACAGCAATTACGCTAGCTTATTCTCAAGCTTTGTGATTGTTTTCTCACTCACAATCACCCATAATCATCTGAGGTATTCCAGATTTACATACTTGGCTACTCACTAGCCAAGTATTCTCTGAGAAACTACAGGGAAATTGCAAATTTTATGTCCTGACATATCACAACATGTCTTTTTCTCTATACCCATGAACAGTGTGCTGCTTTTGCTATACAGGCTTTAAAAGGGACACTGTGGGCACCATAACAACTTCATTGGAGTGAGGCTGAGTGTGTCAGCACAATAATAGTGCAATACAATGTACACACAATATAAAATAAAAAAGAAAATAAAAATATCATCCTGTCCTTCCACAACCCATAGAGATTCAGGGGTAAAAAGTCACACAACCAGGGCTTCAGGACCCCTCCTAACCCCTGCTCCCCCACCAGCACGTATGACAACACATCCTCCCAGTGTGCAGTTGTAAAAGGAGCCTTACACTTTTATAGGACATTCTTTTTAAGCTCTTCAACGTGGTCTAGCTAGTGAAGCTATTTATATATCTTCAGAAGGAAATAGAAGGGCTTCTTAAACAAGTGCCATCTACCCTGCGTAACACCTCAAACTAGTGAAATGTTGTGCTTTTGCCATAATGTTTACTTTTTGATATTTATTGTGCTGTACCTGCACAAGCTCCTCTATTTAACACAAACACTCACATAGGTAGTGTGAATGACAAGTAGTTGTCAATGAGTGCTATTAGAATTAAACATACATGCAATATAATGTTACACACATGCACATATATGAATTACTTCTCCAAGTCTTTTGAATGAATGAGAGGGAACTAGAATATTTCAGTCATTTCCTCTGCTCCAGAAATCGTTGACAGTCTGCAAAAAGGGTACATTAGGTGGAGCGTGTTGTATCAAAACAATATATAGGTAATAGTTGCACCGGACAGAGATGTGCATATTCAAAAATTACCAAATCCTAGGGCAACATTGTAAGTCTTTGCAAATAACAGAAGATAAATATTGTGTGAATGTACTCACAAGTATAGAGACAGTAACACTATGTTCAATTTGGGGGCTTGTTGTGATATTTGCAGGGATCCCACTCCCTTCTCTGTGTACTGGTAACCGTTCCTCTAACTTCCCGTACAAATCCACCGGCTATCAGGTGCAATAACAGGTACACTTTATTTGTACAAAAAAACAGAGAAATCAATACAATAAAATTAATGTTCTTACAGTTTTAGTAGTGCAAAAAGTTATATACGACTCAAATTGCTTACACCCGGCTGGAACGCACCGTGTCCTCGCTGGAACGCACCATTACGCTGGCTTCCTGCGTTTCAAATTCTAGTTGGAACGCATACCTGCATTCCAACTTGTACTGTGGATTCGGATTGGAACACATCCTTGCGTTCTCTCTCTATTACTCCTTCGTAGCCTTTTGGACTTAGCAGGAGTTTTTCGGATATATTCTCCAAATGTCCATAGTTGGTTCATAAAATGAAGGGAAGCAAAAAAAGCGAATTTGTATGTGTTCCTATAGCTGGGATACGGCATAAATAAGATATTTAGAGATGAAATATAGTAAATGCATGTTTCATACTTAAAAGAGATACATTTGATATTTAAGAATGTAGAACATATTACATATGAAATTTACATAATGTGTTACTGAGTAACAAATAAAACACATAGAACATGTATGATTCATGGATCAATATATCTAAAATATATTGCATATAAAATTTGCGTTGTTTATTATTGGGTAATAGGTAAAACGCATAAAACATATACAACATATAGTGCATATATTTTTTTAAGTGAATAATAAGATTTGGAAGAGGGGGTCAGAACTTTATTAAAAGGTAACTTATTTTCAAAGAGTTTGTATAAAAAATATAAATGTAAAAAAAAACGATAGAAAATATATAAAAAGCTTTGCTTATTAAATTGGTCTATTTGATGCATAAAAATTCTTCCAGTGGTGGACCTGGAGTCTGTTCCATAGATTGTGCAACCAGTTCATGTGTTGATAGTCAATATTATGTTAAGAAGTGGCAGATCTCGAAATTCAGTCCGCGTGGAATAAGTGTATTGAAATTAAAATTAAACTTAATTTCTTCTTTCCCTAATTTCTTTATATAGTTTCCTCCTCTCCAATCTTTCTTCACTAACTTCAAGGCGCAAAAAAATATACCCTCTGGATTTTGGTTGTGTGCTATCTTGTGTTGGGAGATGGTGTGAGTGTCTAAGCCCTTCTTAATGTTTCTAATGTGTTCTGCAATTCTCACATTTAATGGTCTGATGGTTCTACCTATATACAGAAGTGTGCATGGACATTTCAAGATACATATCACGCCTTTGAAGTGGCATATCAGATGATCTTTAATTTTGTACTGCTTCCTAATGATATGGCTTATATCTGTTAAATGTCTTTTAGTGCTTTTGGTTTCTCTACATGGAAGGCAATTTAAACATCCATAAAAAGACTATCAAAAACGCTGCTCGGTTTTTCTGTTTCCAAGCAACTCTTGACTAAAATATTCTTGAGATTCTTCGTTCCTCTATAAATAATCTTTGGTTTACATGGTATAATTTCATTTAAAATCAGGTCGTCCTTTAAGATGTGCCAATGCTTTTTTAAGGCTCTTTGTATTTTCTTAGTATTGCCATTATAATTGCAAATTAAGGGGACTTCATTTTTCCTAAAGAATTATTTTTATATTTCAGAAGCGTTCTTCTTGGTAGAAGTTGATGTCTATGAAACTTTTGGTAAATGTTAAGGTGATTCCCCAATCAATGGTATTTAAATATTGGATAAAACGATCCAGCTCTGTTGTATTGCCTGTCCAGATAAAAAAGACTTTAGAGGATACCACACAGGTGTTAGAGTGTGTTACACCAATTGCTACACACCGGGATTTTGTATATATTTTGTTAAAATAGTCTGCAAAAAGGAGCCATTCACAAATGTGTGTGTATATGTATATATGATTACCATACTATTAATTATGTATATTTGTAATGCATTAACTAGATAAAACATTAATAAAAAAAAAATCCCACTTGAGTGACCTATAAAAAGCAGTTATTGTCTATGCCATATGAGGTTGAACACTGTCTTAGAAACACATTACTTTACTGAATCATTAATTATCATTTCCATTCTATATACGCATGTAGGAAGAATGTGCGTCATCTCACATCTGATTTACATTTACTTCGTTATCATTTACTATAGAATAGATTAAGCAGCTGTAAGGCTGTTTATTATTGGCCTTAATATTCCAGTCTTTGAACCACACTGGTTATCTGTACAGTTTGTGCAAAGAGCAGTAATTGCTATAATTGCCCAATTGAATGTCAGTCCACACATCCTGTGGTGTAAAAATGCTGAATTGTACTGCTCTAGTGTTTTTCTTCAAAGAAAGCTTTAAGCAGCACTTCATTTACAATTTGAGAGAAGCGGAAATGTAAATCAATCACTTACATATCGTATTCTTCCCTCAATAAATAAACAAAACAAACATATAACAGTGAAAGTGAAGTGAAAGAAACTACAGCACTTCACACATAACGACACATTTGTTTGGGTTGTATACATATTTCCTGGCCATATCCATGGCAGCACAACAATGGGTAGCTCCTTCTATCCCTAATTAGACTTGAACTTTAATTAAAAGAAGGGTATAAAAGTTCCCTCCCACCCCTTCCTCTCTTAGTATTTTTGTTTTGTCTTATCCCAAAGGACATACTTGGTCTTTTCAGAATAAGAGATTTTTCTTTCTGGCTTACCTGAGGGTTGTTACCCTCGACCTCAAGGGAGTTCAGCCTTTCTCGCTTGGGGAATCTTCAGTACACAGCCCTACGCAATGGTGACCCCCTGAAGAAACCCCTTTAGTGATCGGGTATTATAACTTGCTGTGACCCAAGGAGTAGCAAGTAATACAGCCTGGCCCAACAAATTGCAATGTCCCAAGGGGTAGCAATATGGCAGAATACTGAATAAAAAAACAAAACGTTCATTTAAGGAGGCTCTCCTCTAATAAATCTTTTATTCACCATAATTGCAAGTGACCTACAAGAAGGGTATTTCATTATTTACAGAAGTAATGCAACTCATCAGCATGAAGTTGGTTACTGGCTTGCTATGGAGGCTTGACGTTACTTGTAAAGTACATAGGAAAAGATTTGTGGTGGGGAAATGAAAACCCCTTCAACCTGAAGTAAGTGGATAGTTAATACATTGCTAAACACAAATACACACACCAGTCAAACCATAAGACTTGCTTTTCCCACATAAATCTCACCGTAACAGTGCTCTCACTACTGCAAGGGATTCTGGGTAGGTGTATGCAAATGAGCTCAACAAAGAACCACATTTTTGCTTCAATTCCACTTTATACATGGAGTCTTCAGAGTATGTGTCTGCTGTATACAACAGCTTTGAAACACAACTCAGGAAGAGGCACAAAGCCAGTGAACTACTCATGGACAGCTGTTTCATTGTTTATGCTAGTAATTTTAGATTTAGTAATTTTAGATTTAGTTGTTAAGTCTTAACAACTAAATCTAAAATTACTAACTTTAAATCTAATCAAACAAATAAAAGTTATACCATAAAAGACTTAATTGGTTGCAATACTACCAATGTTATCTAACTATTGGAGTGCCCTTGTGGCCTCCAATATGTAGGTATGACCACCAGGTGTCTTAAGATAAGACTCGCAGAACATTGTAGGAATATAAGAAATGGGTACCTAAACCACTCTGTATCCAAGCACTTTATTAACCACAATCAAGATCCTAAATTTCTCAAATGTTTAGGAATTCAGAAATGCCAAATACCTTGGAGAGGTGGTAATATAAAAAATATTCTTGGTAGATCAGAGATGGAATGGGTATATAACTTACAAACCCTAACTCCCCAAGGTCTTAATGTAGATTTTGATTTATTTAATTTTTTATAATTTTTTATAATTCTTTACCTTTAAATATTTACATTATTGGATTTTATTCATTAATCTAATTTTTATTATCGATGCTACCTACATGGATTTATTATTTTATGCTTCTCTTATGTGACTTTTATCTTTTTTCACTTTAAGGCTGTATATACAATATGTGTAATTTATTTATGTTGTATTTACAAGGCAGATTATTTTATGCAAATTCCACTCTTATTCACTACATTCTATACCATCTTTTATTTCAATATCTTATGTTTTAATTGCCAGCATTTTACTCATTTAATTCATTTTTTATTTATAATACAATTTTTTGCTATGCAGCCTAATACACTACAATTCCCACTTTCCTCTGCGGCTCTAGTCACGTGGCCCGCGGGTACTGTTGTTATATGACGCCGCAGGTCACGTGACAGAGCCTAAACCCGCCCTGCTGCTCTTGCGTCCGTGCGAGCCGTTTTCTCTAGCGCCGGCCGCACGGACTTTGTGTATATCGGCGGTCACGTGGCCCGGCACTACAGACCCGAGTGCATTGCGGGTCACGTGACACGCACGAACTTGGCAATTTTGTACTTTTTTCATATTAAATAATGCTCGTTTTTAAATCATTTTTATAAACATACTATCTTATGCTCCTATATATTTATATTATATATTATTTTTTATCATTTGTATGTATACTTTTCTTTTATATTTTATATTACTCTGATTGGCTGATCATTTTTTGGCGCCAATTTTGAATGTTTGTATTAGCTATATATACTCCTTATGTGCCAGGTATCAATACTATTCCAATTTGATAAAGCCTCTACGGCGAAACGCGTTATTGGTTTTAATATATTGTATTAATAAATAATTTTACATATATTACCTATTATATTATTATTTTTATCTTTATTTATTGTTCCTGGCATATCCTAAGGTGGGGATTATACCACCCACGTGAAAAATAGAGTGCAGACTGACCTGCACTCTACTTGTGAGTATATTTTATTTATTTTTACATCTTCCTACTAACAACCTCAACAGAGAGCATTATTGGCTGTTTTTATTTCCTTTTCCTGAGAATTGGATACCATCTCCATAAGCGGAGGGTTATCCGCCGTATGCCCATCATACTAGAGTTGGTCCTAGCTCATGGAAATGGGAGTGTGTAATTTATATTTTAATTTTCACAATTATTATTTATACACTCTGCACGATTGGCCCTTTCCCATTGTGTCTTTCATATCGTGAGAAGACACCATATCAGTTGAGGCATCATCCATTATTGGGACTCTTTTATTAGAATATTTTATTTCTATTTGATTTGGACTTGTTTTATTACCCCTTTGCCGCAGCCTTATTCTTTGTTTCTGTGTATACTTTTATTGTAGAGGGTTAGAGGGTGACCCCCTATAGGCTGCTGCCTCCTATTTATTTTATTTATTTATTATTAGCGCTAACCTTTTGATCTTTTTTTCTGGATTTTAGTTACACCTCTGCTCCTTGATTACTCATATCTTTATGAAAATTAGGTTTGTGCAGCTCTGTAATGGGTTTTTATATCTGTTAGCTATATATTATTATTATTTTATTATTTATATAGCGCCATCCAGGGCCGGACTAGGAAAAAAATTAGGCCCGGGCATTTACAATCAGAGCGGCCCCCTAAGAAGGGGGCGGGGCCAGAGAGGGTGTGTTTTGTCATCACTAATGACAAGCACGCCCCCTCTCAAAGTGAGCATGTTGGTTCAATGCATGGCATTAGAAAAGGGCCTTGTATTTGTTATGCACAGCGCAAGCAAATTTAATAACATGCTTGCGCTGTGTTTGCTTTTAAATTGTCTCTGGTGTCTCCACAAGTGGGATACCAAAGGAGAAAAGGGCCAGGAAAGTGTATGGTGCATATGTTTGGAGCCTGCTTGTGGGATTGTGTGTGTGTAAAGTGTGGTGTGGGCAAACATTTGCTTGGGCCCCCTGAACCCTGTTATCCCCTCCCTGGCATGCAATCAAGCTCCCCATCCCAACGCAAAGGCGGACATAAAGTAGAGAGGGCTCTGGTGCATGAATTATTTTGGGCAAGAGGGGGAAAAAGGTAGATCCCCATCTGTCGTGCAACTCCAACAATGCTTTGACAGCTAGGGCTCTACCATTTTCCCATGAATGGTTGTATTTAGCACTGAGTGGGATTTGTGTGTTTGAGTGTAAGCATGTTTTTGTATGGAGTATGTTTGTGTGAATGTCGGGTTGTGTTTGTGGAGATGGCATTTGAATGCAAGCATGCATTTATGTGTAGTGTTGGTTTATGAATGCACTGGCGTGTTTATATATAATTGTGTTATTTAAAAAAAAGAGATGTGTTTATATGTAGTGTTGAAGTTTGAATGCAGGTGTGTATTTGCGTGTAGTGTTGGCGTTTAAATGCTAAGATGTATGCACATATACACATGCACTGCCACAAACACACACACACAGAAACACTGGCAGATACACCGATATACACACTCATACAGATGCAGCTATACAGACACATTTACACACATACACACACACATACAGACACACAGATGCACACACTGGCACACATGCAGATACACACATTTGATACTTACAGATACATGCAGAGGTATACACACTGGCACACACACAGATACATACATACTACAACATACAGATACACATTGGCTACATACAGATACATGCACAGACATACACATTGGCACACACACAGATACTGACACATACACAAACAGATATACTGACACACACTGTGACAGACATGGATACTGACACACACACAGGCATTCATACTGACACATACACACTGATACACATACATACTGACACACACAGACATACTGACACGCACAAATACTGACACACAGACAGACATACTGACACACACAGACAGACAGACATACTGACACACACACAGACATACTGACACACAGACAGACACTCCAGTTTCGTACCTTTGCAAGAGGCTTCCTTCCCTGGGGTCCAGTGTGCTGGCTGGGTTAGTTGGGAGTTGGGGATCTGGCTCTCCTTGCTCCCCCTCCTCACTGGATCCTGGCTCAGCCTCCCGCGCGGCCCGATGTCTTTGAAGTGGGAGGAAGTGATTTGCAGACGTCACTTCCTCCCATGCAGCCGTTAAGCAAGGGGCCCGGTCGCACTCTTAAAGAGCCACAGCGCCGACCGGACCCCAGCTGGAACATGCTCACCAGGTGGCCCTAACTGTATGTATGGGCCACCCGGTGGGCCCCCTCAGTGTGCGGGCCACGGTGCAGCCGCAATGCCAGCACTGCGGGCCCATTAGGGAAATATTTGATTTTTTTTTTTTTAAATTCATGCCGTCGGCGGGGCCCACGGGGAAGCTGCTTTTGGCCCCCCAGGAGTAACTGGGCCCGGGGCAGCTGCCCCGTTTGCCCCACGTTAAAGACGGCCATGCTAGGGGCTATAGAGAGTGTGTGTATAGGGGGCATAGTGTTATAGGGGATGTAGCGAGTGTGTGCATACAGGCTGTAGTGTGTGTGTTGTAGAGAGGGTGTGTTTAGAGAATGTTGTATGTGTTTGCTGACAAGGAATGTAGTGTGTGTGTAGGTGGTGCAGTGTGTGTGTGTGTAGGAGATCTAGTGTGTAAAGGACCCAGAGTGTGTATAGGAGATTGTGTGTGTGTGTAGAGGATTAAGAGTGCATATACCCTATTTCCTTTACCCTATATGCACTCTTAATCCTCTACACACACACACAAAATCTCCTATACACACTCTGGGTTCTTTGCACACTAGATCTCCTACACACACACACTACATTCCTTGTCAGCAAACACATAAAACATTCTCTAAACACACCCTCTCTACAACCCACACACTACGCCACCTATACACAAACACTACAGCCCGTATGCACACACTCGCTATATCCCCTATAACACTATGCCCCCTATACACACACTCTCTATAGCCCCTAGCCACACATATTACACCACAAACACAAATGATCTAGCGTGTATCTGGAGCGTAATGTGTGTAGTGGTGCAGTGAGGGGTGCTGTAGTGTGTGTGTGTGTGTGTGTGTGTGTATATATATATATATATATATATATATTTGGACGTATTCTATGTGTATGTAAGAGGGTTGCTGTGTGTGAGGGTGTTTTTATCTGCCGTCACATTCTAGGTTTCTAATTTCACTGAGGGTTATTTTATATTATATATATATATATATATATATATATATATATATATATATATATATATATGTGTGTGTGTGTGTGTGTGCGCTGTATATATGTGGGAGTGTGCTGTGTGTGTCTGAAGGTGCTGTGTGTCTGAGGGTGTGCTGTGTGTTTGGGGTGCTGTGTATGTTTGGGGGTGCTGTGTGTGTCTGGGCGCTGTGTGTGTCTGGGGGTGCTGTGTGTTTCTGGGTGCTGTGTGTGTGAGGGGGCTGTTAGTGTGAGTGTGAATGTATTTTTTATTCAAATTTAAATATATTTTTAAATTAATAATAAGTTTTTAAAAAAGTTATATCCCCCCCCTTCTTACCTTTAGCCTGGAAGGGGAAGGGGGGGGGGGTTGCCAGGTATCCATTGAGGAGCATTGCCGCAGTAACCGGTGCTCGGATAGCGCTGGCCCTGCAGGGGCTGGCCGGGGGGATCCTGTGATCTCCCCTGCCGGCCTCAGCCCCACGGTCATCGCGGCCCACCGGGCATTTGCCCAATGGCCAGTCCGGGCCTGGCGCCAACAGATTCCATAGCGCTGTACAATGGGTGGACTAACAGACATGTATATGGACTCTGCCCCTCCCAATATATATATATATATATATATATATATATATATATATATATATATATATATATATATATAGCTTTGGTTATGTTAGTGCTGCCATGCTTGATCAGGAAAAAGGAAAAAAAAATATTCCTGATCATTAACACCTTAAGAGCGGAAGCAATCATAAAAGTTATGAACCAAAACAACACCTGTGATTTAAGCTATGTGCCTGTTCAACCATAATTTAACTCTTTCATATTAAGTGTACCCACACTTATTATGTATCATTTTGTTTAGAATTACATTTCCTGTCCTGTCTGTGAAGGGAGGATCTAACCCATACGTTAATGATCAGGAAAATAAGATTACGGTATTTCTGAAACAATTTACCTCATTAAATGTATATATTGCATCACACAAAGCCATAAGCTTACAGACAATTCATTCCCATATCTATACAATGATAAGAGGTTCTTGATTCAACATTACAGAACATTTCTCACAGATCATGTAGCATACCTCATTAACCCCTTAAGGACATATGACATGTGTGACATGTCATAATTCCCTTTTACTCCAGAAGTTTGGTCCTTAAGGGGTTAAGACCACTATAGTGCCAGGAAAACAAACTCCTTTTCCTGGCACTATATGGTCATTAGGTCCCGCCCACCCTCAGGGCCCCCACTCCCGCTGGGATAAAACCCCTTCAGCCACTTACCTTTCTCCAGCGCCAGTCTCCCACGGCGCTGGGGAACTCTCCTCCCTCTGCTAACGTCTGCTCCGAATGCGCATGCGCGGCAAGTGTCAAACCACCCATAGGAAAGCATTACTCAGTGCTTTCCTATAGACGTCCAGCGTCTTCTCACTGTGATATTCACAGTGAGAATCGCGGAAGCGCCTCTAGCAGCTGTCAGTGAGATAGAGGTTGGATTAACCTTCAGTAAAACATAGCAGTTTCTCTGAAACTGCTATGTTTTCAGCTGCAGGGTTAAAACTATATGGACCTGGCACCCAGACCACTCCATTGAGCTGAAGTGGTCTGGGTGCCTATAGTGGTCCTTTAACTGTCCTTGCAGTTAATATTACGTAGGTAAGACTGACACTGTGGATGTGTGGACACCAATGCGCTATTACCACGACATATTGGGATTCTAAAACAGATAAACCAGTAGCAAAACATTTCTTGGAAAATCAACACATGCCATCTAATTTAAAATGTATAGCCATTGATCACGTCTCCCCCACTGTCTAGAGGTGGGGAATGTTATTTAAGAGTTAGACATTTTAAATCAAAACTTTGGATGCTGTCTACCAGAGGGTTAAATTAATACATTTTGTTCTTTTGCTTCTTGGAAACTCAATTATTTATTTATTTATATAATATTATGGAGGAAAGGAGCTCTGGTTTGCCTTCCAGCTTTTTGTATATCATAAACTCAATACATATTATTAGCCGGGATTTTACTATATTGTCATATTGTTTTTGGAGTCATCACTTTTCGCTTTTTTTTTTTTTTTTCATGTATTTTTTCTAATTCTGTCATGCATACTCTCACATGCATATCTCTTAATTTCTGTGGTAACTTTTTTTCTTGCACCTTTTGGATTTATTTTTATGGCTCACCCTATATATAAGCACCGTTTAAGCGATTTGCCCCATTGACAACATGTAGCTATATTACTTTATTTGAGTCAGTTTACTTATCGATGTAAATTTAAGACTCATTATTGCTTTTTATTTGTCCCGTTCATGTATATAAGGGACACCTATATGACTTATTTGTTTGCTGGTATTCCTATGCAACACCTATATGTGAGCATGTGTATTCTCATATTAGTCTAAAATAAGTAAATAGGTACGCAGATAATTTTAAAAACAAAACAAAAAAAACAGGTGTAAATAACTAAATATATATATATTGTGTAAATTTGATAGGTATAAGTGATTACATAATTAAATTAACTAAAAAGTGGGTAAACTGTATTACCTGTGTATAACAGTAGATGCAATGTTATGTTGTGAAATAAAGTTAATTTAAAATATACTTGCAAAATCTTTCAATTGATGATCTCAATGATCTAAAATATATAAACACAGAAACAAATCCAACTGCAATATTGCAGTAATAGACAAACTGTATGTAAAACTCTGCTGAAATTAAAATCACAAATGTGGAGTGGCTGTAGTTCCACTCCAAACTATAGAACCCAGAGAGGATCAAACCTTTGCGTTCGTTGGATCCAATACAGATATCTACACCACCAGCAGAATGATGGATTCAATACTTTATTCCTCATATAAAATTAAAACAAAGTATAAAGGTGATTGTAGCTGGACGTTGATGGCGCCAGTCGCACACTAGCCGAGCTCCTAGGCCTAAACCGACATAATTAGCCTTATACCCCTCAATATCGGCGATGGTGCGGACAAAGAAACACACCGGCACCGGGAGCATGCCCTCGGGGTCCCCGAGACGCGGTACGGGCACCCTGGATGATTTTCTCAGCACCCCGGCGGGGCTCCGGGGCACTGCGCCCTCAGACAATATGGCGGCTGTCTCCCCTAGTGCAACCAGCGGGGGGGATTCCATGTCCGACTTTAGCCCCGATGACGCCCTTCTGTCCATCAGGGCTGAGCTCTCCAGGATTGGGAGCAGCATGCTCACCAAAGCAGACACGAGGGCCCTGGTCCGGGAGATAAGGGAGGTGGTCTGGGAGGACCTGCAGGGCCCCCGAACAGACCTCACGGCCCTCACGGAACGAGTGGATGCAGTGGAGGCGGAAGCACGGATCTGCTGTCAGCAGCACCGAGCAGCAGAGACAGCGGCCACTAGACAGGGTAACATGCTGCTGAACCTAAGACGCCAGGTGGAGGACCTGGAGAACCGCAGCCGGAGGCACAACGTCCGGATCAGGGGCCTGCTGGAGCCTGACACAGAACCACTGGCGGTCACTCTACAGCAGCACTTCTGCCAGCTCTTGGGCCCTGATGCACCGCCCGACATCCGCATAGACCGGGCCCACCGCGCCTAGGGACAAGCTAGAGCGGACGGCAGGCCCAGGGATGTGGTGTGCTGTCTCCACTCCTTCCCGCAGAAGGAACAGATCATGGCGGCGGCCAGGAACCTACTGACAGTCACTTTCAGGGGAGCTGACCTGGCTCTCTTCCAGGATCTTTCCGGCCTCACACTAGACGCCAGAAGGGCGCTGCGGCCTATCACCACGGCCCTACGTGACAAGGGGATCCCCTACAAGTGGGGGTTTCCCTTTAGCCTACAAGCACGTCAGGGATCCTCCTGGCACACACTCAGGATGCCAGATGATGCCCCGAGATTCCTTCGGGCGCTTCACCTTCCCCCTATCCGGATCCGTAACTGGCTGCTAGACGAACCTTTGGGCCCACGAAGAGAAGAGGCAGGCCTGCAACCCTCCGCTACCCATTTGGGCCGGATGTCACCGCCGCGCCGCTGGGGAGGACCAGCGGGGGCGGAGGAGTGATTTGGGACTTTGAACCTGCATCGGAGCGGACGCCCCGTGGCCCCTCTGCACGAACTTCAGCGGTTGGTGGGCCTCTCCCCCTTCTCCCCCCCATCCCTCTCCTCCCCGGGTGGGGAACATTGGTCCGGAGGTACCATTGGACTGAGGTGGTGTGGATTTGAGGGAGATGGACCGTGGGACTTGCACCTGGGGTGGGTGGGGGGGTTGGGTTTGCATTATGAGGCACTCTGTCCTGGCCCGGTGCACCTTGAGCGGAGGACTGAACCCTAAAGTACGTGCCCGGTGCCTCGGGGGGGGGGGAGGGGCTGGGGGTTGGGGGGTCTTGGTCTCGGGCCTTGCTGGGGGGATTTGGCCCACAGGGCATGCCCGGAAGGGAAACATAATAGCGGGGGGGACGCGCGGGGTGTGCTTGCGATGCAGAAACCGGATCCCACGTGGGACCTTGGCCTATCCACAATGCTCTCACACATATAGTTAGGAATATTGACCGCACCCTCATAGTATTCGTCTGCGGGGACTACACTACCTGGTAGGGCGGTGACAGCCATGGGCGGCTGTGGACACCACAGTACCACACACGACAAGGCGACGGACCCTTGACTACAGACACGCCCCACGGGCAGACGCAAACCTGTACAGGCACCCAAGGTGCGACCTAGGGACGACTGCCGACAGTTGGAATGACTCCCCCGCTACACACCAAGTGCGTTGAGCCAATACCGGCACCTCACAACTAGGACGAGGTGCGGGGACGGGGGTGGGTGAGATCGGGGACCTTGGGCCGACTCCTGGTCGCGGGACCTGACCAATGCCGGGACCTGACTCCTGACTCGCCCCCGCTCTCAGTCCCCACCTCCTCTCTCTCTCACTCTCTTTTCCCCCCCCCTCTCTCTCTTTCTTTCACGCTCTCTCCCCCTCCCTCTCACGCTCTCCCTCTCTCTTCTTAACAGCTACCTGCTTACCCTCCCCCCCCACGCCCCATATTCGGGGATGATGCCCGGTCACTTTAAGCAGGCGGATCTCTGCCTATGGTCGAACAACGTTTGGGGCCTTAACGCACCAGAACGACGCTCACACCTTCTCCGCACTCTGTGGGGGGCACGCTTGTCGCTTGCATTCGTCCAGGAAACTCACTTCCAGGGGTGAAATGCACCGGCGCTGCGGGACACCCGCTTCCCAACCGGATACTTTGCCAACCACCCACATGCCAAAAAGTCGGGGGTGGCAATTCTCATAGCCCGCACAGTGCCCTTTCAGAGCCACGCTGAATTGGCAGACCCAGAGGGCCGCTACATATTCGTGAAGGGCACGATTGCCGGACATCCCTATACATTGGCGTGTGTCTATGTGCCCAATACAGCACAACATAACTTCCTGACGCACACTGCACGCCCTGGAACGCTTCAGAGAAGGCATGCTGATCCTGGCGGGGGATCTCAACCTGGCCCTGGATCCACGTCTGGACACCTCCCTGGGAACTAGCTCCCTACCAGCTTCCTACCAACGCAAGGCCCTCAAGAACTCGGGGTTGGCAGACTCATGGCGAGTGGCCCACCCACTAGGGAGGGAGTACTCCTACTACTCTACGGTCCACAACCGCTACAGTCGGTTGGACTATATCTTCCTCCCCATTGAATATCTCTCGCTCTTGCAATCCAGTGGGATCCACGCGGCAACTTGGTCGGACCACGCACCGGTCTGGACTAAGATTGCCTCCCCGCTGTACAGACCACGGGAGAGGCAGTGGCGGCTCAATGAGCAAGTCTTGGAGGAGCTGGCGGCGACAATGGAGATGGGTGACGCACTGCAGAAGTACTTTGAGGAGAACACCACCTCAGACGTGGAACCATCGACGATATGGGAGGCACACAAATGCATGATTCGCGGCTATCTCATACGTTACTGTACTCAATGGAAGAAAGCCCAAAGGCAAGCAGTCACGGACCTGGCACAACAAGTGGCAACCCTTGAAACCCTACATAAGACTACCCTATCAGAAGATACCTACAGAGAACTCCTGGAAGCGCGGAGAAACCTCAAACAATTGCTCTCACAAGGCCTCCTCCGAACCATTCGCAGATCTCGTAGACACTTCTACAAATACTCGGATAAATGCGGGAGACTCCTGGCCAGGCGCCTGCAAAGGGAACGAACACTCACACACATAACCAAGATCCGTGATCAGACCGGCGTGCTCACAACGCCCAGACAGAATAGCGACGGCCTTTCACCACTTCTATATGGAATTATATAACATCCTGGAAACGCGAGGTGCAGCGGCCCGGAAGAGGCGCGAAACCGAGTTCGCGAACTACCTGGAACAACATATCTTCCGGACCCTTACGGACGATCAAAGGACTGAAATGGAAGAACCCATCTCACTAGAGGAACTCAAATACGCTCTTAAGATCGCCAAAGCCCATAGGGCTCCGGGCCCGGACGGCCTCCCCGCGGCATATTACAAAAAATTTCAAGACATCCTGCTGCCACACCTTCTAGGTAACCTAAATCACCTACTGGACGGCGGCCACCTCCCAAGAGACACACTGGCTGCCACAATCTCTCTTATCCCAAAAGACGGGAAGGACCTGACAAACTGTTCCAGTTACAGGCCGATCTCCTTACTCAACTCTGATTTGAAGCTGTTCACTAAAATACTGGCTTTGCGAGTGGGGCGTGTATTGCCGGACCTGGTGCATCCGGATCAGGTGGGATTCATTCCCGGCAGGGAGGCACGCGACAACACCACCAGGGCTCTCAACGTGATCCACCTGGTGGGGAGCGGCCAGAGGGGGATCCTCCTCCTCTCGACCGACGCCGAGAAGGCGTTCGATCGAGTGGATTGGGGATTCATGCTGGCGACACTCCGTACGATGGGATTCGGGCCACACATGCTGACCTGGATAACTGCCCTTTACACGATACCTACAGCTCCCCTGCGCATCAATGGTGCCCTAACACAGCCATTCAACATCCGCAATGGCACGAGGCAGGGGTGCCCCCTGTCCCCCCTCCTGTTTGCCCTCTCCCTGGAACCATTCCTGGGGGCGGTCAGACGGGATGGGGGAATCACGGGCCTCGTCTATAATGGTCTGGAGCAGAGAGTTGCGACATATGCGGATGACCTTCTCTTCTTTCTTGCCAACCCACTCATCTCCCTCCCGAACCTACTAGCAAGGTTCCGGGAGTACGGCCTACTCTCTAACCTTAAACTCAACGCTGAGAAATCGGAAGCCTGCCCGCTAAACCTATCTGCCGCTGACACGACTCATCTACGAACACAGTACCCATTTAAGTGGTGTGCGGATAAGCTCAAATACCTCGGCATCTGGCTCACCGGAGACACGACGCGCCTATTCCAGGAGAACTTTGTACCCATTCTCCGCACGCTGCAGCACGACATGACGAACTGGGGCGGCCTGTGCATTTCATGGTTCGGGAGAATCAACGCCTTAAAACTAAACCTTCTCCCTCGACTTCTTTACCTCTTCCAGACCATCCCAATTATACCCAGGACCTTCTTCCAGACGCTCAATACTGCGATAATAAAATTTGTGTGGAAAATGGGACGACCTAGGGTTAACGGGGCGCTCCTGTCCCTGCCCAAAAGGATGGGGGGCTTGGCCCTCCCCTCGCTAATCCACTACTACAGGGCCACCCACCTGCTCCGGCTGTTGGACTGGCACACACTAAACTCAGACAAGCTCTGGAGGGAACTAGAGAATAGCCAAGTGGCTCGAAGGTTGCCAGCCGCGGTATGGACAGCACACCCCCTACAGGACCCCAGAATGACCCACAACCCGTTTATCCGGGCCACGACGCAGGTATGGATTGCCACCCGCCTGAAGGACGGACTCACTACAACGACAGGTCCTCTGACACCTATAACTCATAATCCAGAGATCGCGGACGGCCTGCGACCCGGGGATGTGACGGGACTCGGGGACCCGGACTGGACCTACATGAAACAGCTATGCTCCACAACGGGACTGAAAACATTGAGAGAACTGATCCCAGACGGCACCACCTCTTTAATGACTAGGTTCCGCCATCATCAGATCCAGCACTTCTACCGAACCACGGTGGGCAAACACCTGTTCCATAGAGAACTAACCGCCTTTGAACACATGTGCGTAGCCAGGGATAGACCACTGAAAGGAATCACACAACTCTACTCCCTACTGCTCACAACCACACCACGCGCACCACCGCGATATATGTCCAGCTGGGAACAAGCTACAGACCAAACAATAACAGACCAACAATGGGAGAAGATCCACGTGCTGACACACCAAGGCACGCTCAGCTCAAAAATACAGGAACTTAACTACAAAATTATTGTCAACTGGTACAGAACCCCAGCGAAATTACATCGCATGAACCGAGAAATTCCTGACATCTGCTGGAGATGCGGAGGCGAGGGTGGGACAGACTTCCACATATGGTGGTCGTGCCCTACAATCCAGCAGTGCTGGAAACTAATCCATTCCAAAATTCGGAGCATCGTAGACCCGGACCTACCGTTCCAGCCCTTACCGATGCTACTCCACCACACCACACGCCCTATAGCTACATACAAACGTTCCCTAACCAAACACCTACTTAATGCAGGGAAATCTCACATCCCCACCAAATGGCGCGCGTCGGAGCCACCGACGATGGAGCAATGGATGGAACGCGTAGAGGACATATACAGCATGGAATCCCTCTCGGCATCGCTACACGGCACGGGAGACAAATGTGCTATCACCTGGCTCCCCTGGTGCACCTATATAGCCCAGAGATTAACTGCAGCGACCAGGGGCGAAAGCCACTAGGTAGCGGAGAACTAGGGAAGCTCTACACCCGCTCCACAGAGACCATACGAGATATAGGAACCCTCCTGCCTCCCCTTTTTTTTTTCTCTCTTTCTCCTTGCTTCTCTTCTCTCTCTCCCTCCCACTGTTCCCCTCCTTCCCCCCCCTCCTCCTACCTCCAGGCCAGACCCTTGGCCCCCCTTTCCTTCCCCCCAGTCAGGAGGTCATAGGCACGACGGTGATGGACAGGGGATGCGGGGGGAACCCATGGCCCAAACGTACGGTCCTATGGGGGGCGTGGGAGGGGGGGCACACTGGAGGGGGACAGCTACTAGAGCAGAACCCTGGACCGGGAACACAGTTATGCCTAACGGGGGGTGGGGGGCGGACAGACGTCCCACACCAGGTACCCTGTCCAACCCAACGAGTACGCAACCATACAAAATCCGACATGGTGGGCTGGGAGCTGGCACGCCCCACCCAGCACTAATATACCCTCGGCTCCCCATGACTGCACCACGCCTGACCACTAGATTGGTCCATTAGCTAGGGGACACCTTCCCAACTTAACAAAATGGAGAGAATTTCCGCCACGACACCGACCTGACCCCAGACCTACGCTGACCAAACACCCTTCAACTATATACGTAGCTTACACTTTTGCATACATGCGAGATAACATGAAACAAGACGAGCGTTCCACCATGAAGGCAGCCCACAACTAAAAGCCTTCTCCCACAAGGGCTTTAATGTAGGGCATGTTACAGTTAGATAAAAGTTACTAGTTACCCTTACTCTCTAAGATGACTGATAAGAGCCTTGAGACGGGATGTTATGTATACGGCCATATCTGATCTGTAAAACCCAGAATGTTATCCCTTTTTTCCTTCTGTATCCCATACACTTTATTATCTCAATAAAAACTGATTGGATAAAAAAAACAAAAAAACAAAACAAAACCAAAGTATAAAAAGTTGGGCTCACAGTACTTGAGTGGAAAAGGTATCTGGCAGCTTAGGATACAGTCCCAGCGCGCTCGCTTGTCTGCATCAACCAGCTGATCTCTGACTTCAACTCGCTGTACTTGTGTGTACACTTCCAGGTTCGGTAGGCCTCTTGTTTCGTCCCAATTTGTTTCTGTGTTTATATATTTTAGATCATTGAGATCATCAATTGAAAGATTGTGCAAGTATATTTTAAATGTATTTTATTTCACAATATAACAGTGTATCTAGTAGAGTATACACTGCTTAGGTATTAATTTAATTATACCTATCAAATTATTTTATTTACACAAAAAGTCATCAAAATTCTCCAGTAGCTCTTGCAATGTGCGACTGGTCACCATGCCAGTTAGGCCCTGCTCCCTATTTACTTGTTTTAGGACTTTATCAGGATTCTTTTTAGGTTGCTGCATGTGTATAAACTTGCCACTTTTTTTAGGGTGTTATTACTTGCACTTTAGTATTGCTTGCGCCATTTTATTCTTTTTACAATTTTTCATGTTAGTCTAATATTTAGTTTATATGGGATGCATTTTTTTTTCCTATCCATGCCCAGGTGTTTGGATGTGCCGGTTATATATATATATATATATATATATATATATTTTGTATGTATGTATGTATGTATGTATCAGTTAATGGTAAGTTTTTCATTATATATATTGAGGTACGAGTTGCCATATTATTTTTGTAGATCTTTTTTAATCTTTGGGTATTTCTTTTTTTTTTTTTTTTAAATACTAAGCACTCTACAGGTTTCCTGGTACATCTTGCCTCTATTTGCACTTAATATCTCCCTTTGCTGTCATGGATTCACATTTATATATAGGTTGCCTTAGCAACCACTGTATGTACATCATCACACATTACCTTGTGTATTTGTGTGAATTATTCATCCTCACCTTGCGACATCAATAACGATTGCTTTGCCAACAAGTGCGGATCTACATCAATTAGTAGCCCCATGTCCGCCCACAGTATAAACGACGTCGGCATGTGTGTGACGTCACGCAAAGGACATGCACACACGTTCTGGGGTCAAAGGCCTCCACCGGAGGGTTATTTAAACTCCTAATTCTTCAACTCATTGCCCTGTCGTGGTTTCCCTAGTGGTTTATTTCTGGTATTTGACTTTGGTTTCATTTGACGTCCATGGATTCTGGTATACCTGACTTTTGGCGTTCTCTTATAGTTGTGTCTCGTTCTGTACCCCCCGACCTCATCAAGTATCCTGACTATTCTTTGGTGCATTAAGTCCGGCCATTCTAAGGCCCGGTAATACGTTACCTTTTAGTCCTAGGTGTGACACAATTCTACGTGCTGGATCAATCCTGACAGTTTGGTCACAGGATTACTGTGGTTTGTTGACAACAATTCCTGTTCCTAAAGCACTGTGGTAGTCAGTGGTGTATCCTGGTTTTGTGCTGCCCTAGGCAGGACAAAACCCGGCACCCCCTCTTCCCCCCTGCGCCAGCCCCACCCAACCCAACCCTTCCCCCCGCCCTGCCTTCTAAATACACACACACACACACATTCACTGACAGATATGCATACACACGCTAACAGACAGACACACACACAGTCAGACACACAGACACACACACAGTCAGACACACACACTAACAGACACAAACTGTCAGACACACACACACACACACTAACAGACACACACACACACTAACAGACACACACACACACAGTCAGACACACACACACAGTCAGACACACACACACAGTCAGACACACACTAGCAGACACACACTAGCAGACACACACTAGCAGACACACACTAGCAGACACACTCACACAGTCAGACAGACACTAACAGACACACACTAACAGACACACACTAGTAGACACACTCACACAGTCAGACACACACACACTAACAGACACACACACACTAACAGACACACACACACACTCACATTTTTTTTTTTTTTTAATCTACCCCCCCTCTTACCTTTGGGAATGCTGGGGAGGGGGAGGGTTCATCTCCCAGGTGGTCCAGTGGCTGCGGGCGGCGCTGGGCGGCCAGCGACGGAGCTCTTCCCCTGAGCGCTCTGCTTAGCTCCCTCGCGCGCCGCAGAGTGAGGCTTGGAGCCGGAAGATGACGTCATATTCCGGCTCCCAGCCTCACTGTGCGGTGCACGAGGGAGCTGAGCAGTCAGCTCAGAGGAAGAGCTCCCTCGCTGGCCGCCCACCCAGCAGCCCGCACGCCCGGCCGGTCAGTTAGCCGCAAGGCTAACTAGGCATTTGCCCTGGGCATTTGGGGGCGGCGTTTTTTGCCGCCCCCTGAAAAATGCCGCCCAAGGCAAATGCCTTGTTTGCCTCGCCGCTAAAACACCCCTGGTGGTAGTGGGGGTTTGATTGCCTCTCTAATTATTGTGTGTGTGTGTATATTATACATACACATAAATCCAGTATATAGATTGCACTCTGAGGCCTTCTACAGCAAAATTAGTTTAAAACATAGGTTTTATCGTTTCCAATAAGATGGTCATTTCAGTTTTAAGCCCAAACCGTTTAAGACATTTGCTTGGTTATTGCAGTTCTTCTGGATACTGAATCTGCAGGGTTAAAACATTGAACTGCACATTTTCTGTGTTTCTAATGTATGGCATTTCACACAATAAATCACATTCTAGAAGTCCTGGGAGTGCTACCATTATATATATATATATATATATATATATATATAAAAAATATTAAATATATAAACATATCAGATCCAACGCACTAAACACCAACTTCAAAGCTCGAAAAGTTAGTTTAAAATAAAAAAAATATAAACACCTGACTTTGGTAAAAAACCATTGGTAAAGATACTGGTACATCATATTCATCATGCCCCTGGAGGTAAATGTCCATAGTAATGGTTTACTGCAGCAGCTCTGTTTTCCACACAGAAATGAAAATAGCATTACACAATGGGAAAAGTTTAAGTTTGGTGTTTTGCAGAATTTTCAATACTACATATTATGTGACAAATTATGGAGGAGTTCATAGAACTGTAGAATGCATTACAAAGTCAATGTTGGGGACATAGTTAGCTTCCTCTGAAATAGGGAGGGGAAGAGTCAACAAAAGAAAAACTATTTAAAAATTGATCATTTAAACTAACTATACAGATGGAATATTACTGCCTACAAAATGGCACAATGCTATCTTTTGTCGTGACAGGTGAATTTGAAGTGTTATAATTTAGCAGCTCTCTACCTAACAATCTTCAAAATCTGCAAATAATTTATACACTTTTAGACCTTATTTCATTTCCATTAGAAGGAGATTAATGGGAATTTGTGTGGAATTATGTTTTCAACAGGATCTCAGAGTTCCATAAATGGGACAGAACATTAAACCTATCTATTAGCTTTGGTGAAAAGGCATTGGAATGTGTTCTTTTCTTTTGTGATCACTGTGGAACATTTATTTAAAATAGGTTTAAATTGACATTTAAACAGCAGTTACCTCTGTAATCAGAAACTGTAATCCCTACAAAATTATATGTACATAGTAAGCGATTTTAAATTATCTGCTGCTTCCAAAATGGGACAAAGCATAAGCCTTTTAAACTGAACACTTTTAGTCTGATCATCTTTCTACAGATTTTACCGCTGTAGAAAGATGATCAGACTAAAAGTGTTCTTTTTATTCTTTTTACAACTTTTCATGTTAGTCTAATATTTAGTTTATATGGGATGCATTTTTTTTTCTATCCATGCCCAGGTGTTTGGATGTGCCTGTTATATATATATATATATATATATATACACAAAATATATATACAAAACTTGATCACCATTTTATCCCAATCCTGTTAATTATTTGGAGACCTACAGATTTTACCGCTGTAGGTCTCCAAATAATTAACAGGATTGGGATAAAATGGTGATCAAGTGAGTATTGAAAAACTTTGTAAATAAAATTGTCACAAAAAACTCTTATCACCAACATCTGTAGGAAGTGTATCATGGGTACATTAACAGTTATGAACACAAACCCATAAAGCTTCACTCAATCAATATATTCAATTTGTCTCTAAATAAACAAAAAGGGCAACAATGTACTGCAGATTTGATGTAAATAGCAATAGCATGAAAGTCAGTATATTCTTAAGCATTTTCAATATACATTAAAAGCAATTTGCAAAACAGGATGATAAGCTGTACATGGTGGGGATTTTTTTTATAGCCTTTGTAAGACTGAAGGCTATAAATCAAAGCTTTACCTATTTACAGGTTTTCATTGAAGTTCAGTTACTCTGTAGGCTAAATCTGTTTGTTGGGGGTTTTTTTAGGACTAAAAGATTGATGTTCTTTGTACAAATAGTTTGCTTCTTTTTCAAAAGAGTTTTGTCTCCATGGAAATAGAATCTATGAAGGTGATGTAGAAATGGTTTCTTTTGTAAAACATGCTCTGCAATCAAGGTTTCTTGGAGGGCACAATATAGCTTGAGAGACGGTACGATATAGTTACATCTCGGGCTCCATCTTATACTTTGCATTGTTTGACGGAGACATTTTGCAAATGTGTCCATAGAGCAACCGCTATTTCTAAAGCATAAATGAAGGACATTGCAGTGCTTTAAATTTTATGGACTCGATAAGTGTCAAAGATGGTAATGGGACATGGTCAGTCTAATGGATGAAGGTCAAGAGTAAGTTATGGGCAACTTTCTCCACAGTCCACCGCAGAGACAAGTTTTTATCCACCGCTGTTCCCATTGTTTTACTGCAGTGGCCTTATTTGGCGATTTCAACATAGTGACGCACCCACATCTAAAAAGAGTTATAACAAAAAGATGGAGAAAGTCAGGACTATGGTTGAAAATGTCAGTTTAGTGTACAATGCTGTGAATATAAAAAAAAAAAAAAATCTACTTGTCCAAGCAAAAGAGAGAGAGTCTTTGTGTGTATTTTGTTGTGCTCCCTTAGCCTTCACTGTGGTTCATGGTCCATGGGTGGAATAAAAGTCACACGTGGTCTAGTGCGGGAGCTTGAGTTTTGAACTTCCACCAGGTGCAGGCCACAGTACTTGCTCGCTCGTGCTCTGGTGCTCACTAATGTTAGTGTGCACCCTGGAAATACAGCACCTGAGTTTAGACACATAACTGAGCTCCAGACCGCAAGGGAGTAAATACTGTGCTCAGTGCAGACCACAAGATCCTCATCCTGGCACACACCCCCCAGGCTTCCTTACAGCAGCCCTGCAACAGATTGCTCTCTAATTACATTAGAATTTACTACAATCTAGATGACGCATGTCAACCTTGCGGCCCACAATGGATATTTTTGCAGTCCACCTGCCCTGGGGCCACTTTGTGTTTTGGCTGCGATCGACTGTAAGACAGGAAATATATTTCCAGTCTGATTCTTATTTTCTCTCCCACGCCGAATCGCGTGCTCCCGCAGGCCAGCCACTACCCTTCCCTCCTGCTCGCAGTGCAGGGCTGGAACTGGTAGACGGGCGGCTCATCTAAAGGTAGGGGAAGAAGGGCTTGGGGGACCTTCCTGTGTAATGTGCTAAATTGGGGAGGGGGGCAGTGTATTAATTTGAGGGAGTGAGGCAGTGTATTAAATTGGGGGATGAGAGTGGGCCAGTGTATTAAATTGGGGGAGGGAGTGGGGCAGTGTATTAGTATGGTGGAGGGGTAGTGTGTTAAATTGGGGTGAGGTCACTATTACATTGGGGGGAGGGCAGTGTATTACATTAGAGTGGAGGGAGGAGGGGCAATGTACAAGATTAGGTAGAGGGGGCAGTGTATTGGATTTGTAGGTAGTATATTAGATTGGGTCTGCATGGAGGCACTGAAAAGTCCCCATGGAGATGCTGATTGGCTGTGCAGCTTTTTCCATGGAAAGAATTGGATTGGATGAGATCATCAAGTTTAATGATCTCAGCCAAAGTATAGAACACACTTAAAGGACTTAAAAATCAACAAGATAACATCATTTGTTTTTTACAGCTGTGGAACAGCATACATTCACTATTTCAGTCCCATTACCAAACTTTTCTTATTATGTCAAGGTATTTGGTTTGAAACATTGTTTATATGCACATCTCCTTAACATAAATTTGCTCTTTTGTTTACTTTGAATCCCTTTAAGTGTGAGGATGTCCAGTGTCAGTTAGGCAACATTTTTATACTGTATTTTTCTAAATAAACCTATGTTTCTATGAAAACTGAAGTTTGTTTTTTTGCACACTCATCAACTTAACCCCTTAAGGACGGAGCCAAATGTACACGTTGTGAACAAAACAAAACGTAAACAAAACCTGGCATTTGCGCTACAGTCTGTCCAACCGTAATTCACCTCTTTCATAGTAAATGCACCCACCCTTATTATATATAATTTTATTCAGGGGAAACAGGGCTTTCATTTAATATCAAATATTTAGCTATGAAACATAATTTAATATAAAAAAATGGGAGAAAATACGATTTTTATTTTTATTTTTTTAGTTCTACATGACATTTTAACGGTCAATGTCATAATACTGTTTGCTTTTACTGCAATAAAATACACATATTTGTATTCAGCAAAGTCTCACATGTAAAACAGTACCCCCTATGCACATGTTTTATGGCGTTTTGGGAAATTACAGGGTCAAATATAGCACTTTACGTTTTAAATTGAAATTCGCCAGATTGGTTACGTTGCCTTTGGGACTTTATAGTAGCCCAGGAAAGAAATTTACAACCATAATGGCATATCATTTACAATAGTAGACAACCCAAGGTATTGCAAATGTCCAGTCTTTTTTAGTAGCCATTTGGTCACAAACACTATGCCATCATGGGGGTAATTTTCATTCTTGGGCTACCATAGGGTCTCAAAGGCAACGTAACCAATCTGGCGAATTTGAATGTGAAAAAAATGAAACACAAGCCTTATATTTGACGCTGTAACTTTTGAAAACACCATAAAACCTGTACATGAGAGGACCTCACTCTCACATGGCCGGGGGGGCTGCCAGGGGGTCGGACGTGCCGCGGGGGGGCTCCCTGGGAGTCCCCCCAACTGCGATCGCCGGCGTGGGATCGCCGGCGACCGGGTAAGTATAGAAAGATCGGAGGGCGTAAGGGGTTAAACCTTGTTTATTTGGCCTGTGTTAGCTTTGAGTTTGACATGCTTGATCCAGACTATACATTTGTATGTAAAAGAACACTATAGGGTCAGGAACACAAATGTGTATTCCTGACCCTATAGTGTTAAAACACATGTAGACCCCTGGGCTTGTAACACCAAAGGAAGGGAGATGGAATCCCCAGCTTCTAGCTTTATCACCCCCCACGATACCTGCCTCACAACACGTGAGGTAATTGCACCGCTATCCTGAGATACTGAAACTCGACAAACTGTCTCCTATGCTGAGGAACCCTCCAACTCATTAAACAAAGTTAAATTTCATATATGAATAACATGTGATGTACTATGTTTCCACTCAAATCTTTTGTCAAACCCTGCCTCTTAGCTGGACATTATTAGAATTGATGATCTCAGCCAATCACAATACTTTTCCATAGGAAAGCATTGAATTAACTGCGATCGTTAATTCTGATAATCTCAGCCAACGAGGTAAGTCAGGGCCAAAACACCACCCTAGCCAATCAACATCTCCTCATAGAGATGCATTAAATCAGAGTGTGCAGACACTGAACAGCAGTGCTGCACACTGTGCAGCAGTAACCCACGAAGCACGTCTAGTGGCTGTCTGAAGAGTTCTCTGAAAAGGCAGTGTTTACATTAAAAAGTCTGCAGGGCCTAACTATCCTCACCAGAACAACTACATTAAACTGTAGTTGTTCTGGTGACTAGAGTACCTTTAAAGTAAATTTGTTTCGCTCTTCCTTCTGAAAGTAGATGCCAACCTAATATGCTGTACCCACTTGTCATGTCCAGTGCAGTAACTATTCCTAATCTAATACTCATGCACTCCTAAAGATCTGAATCAATATCCCAAATTGTAATCCCCAACACTCAAAGAATCATAATCACTACAGTGGTATAGTGGTTATGGTGCCAAGAGCACTGGCAAATGCCTAAAAGAAATATTCCTTCATTCATGTGTAACTTATGCACTACCATTTGATTCCTGTCTTTATGATCTCCTTCACATAGATACTATGTGTACCACCCTGAACATCAGCCTCACCTGGTGCAAGATTTGCATGCTTCTGTTGGGAAAGTCCCCAAGTGGAGTCTTCTCAAATGGTCAATCTTTGCCTGTGTTGGTGACCTAAGAGAAAAAAAAAAAGGAAAGACACACATACATGCTTAGCTATATAAAACTGCAATAAGTGAAGGAATGAATTCCAGAATAACACTCATTATATACATTTCTATACAGATTACTATTTTACCGTGTGTAGGCATCGTACTGAATAGAGGCATGACTGGCTACTCCAGGAGGTCTCCCAAACTGTAATCGTAGGGGAAGCTTGCTTTGTAGCCGGCTAATAACTCCATTCCCGAGGGGCAGCCAGTCCATACTGGGTATGAGGAGTTGGCTAGGGAGCAGACAGCACTCATCAATCAGTGCTTCATCGGGTTCACATGGGTGAGACTCATCCCGAGCTAAATGGGCAACATCAATAAATAAATAATCAGTACAACACTTCACATCCACCAGAACTGAAACAATGACATTTGTGATTTACTAATAACGAGAACTGTAGTGAATTGAAAATTCAAATTGCAAAATTTAGACAAAAAGTGCTGATTTGGAAAAATCAGCCTAGCTATAGAATAGCTATGTAATACTACTTGATTTTCAATTTACTATAATTCAGATTAGTAAATAAACCTCTTTCTGCTTCTACATGCACCATACAAAGTTTTAAAGATGCACTCCAAGCAACATAACCACTGCCACCTGCTGTAGTGATTATGGTGCTAGAAGTGTCCTGGTGCCCTCCCAGAGTAAGTGGTTGGCAATTTAGCCAGGGTCTGCTATTCACCTACCCCTGAGCTAAGTCTTGCAGTGCAGTGATGGCTCACTGCCTGACTGCATCAGCTAAATGATCTCAGCCAATTAGCAAAGCCCAGAACGATTGGGCTTAGCCAAGTGCAGGAACTTCTGAGTCAGCTGCCAGACCTCAGGTCTTTTACATTTTAGTCTGAGGAAATGATGGCTATAAACAATGAAAAAATAAACAAAGTCTATCTTCTTTAGTGGTCGCACAAAAAAAAATTGGATTTTTTTTTTTTTTTAACACATAAGCAATCTCTCTAGTTTTAATGTGATAGTTTCATTTTTCTCATGATGGGTTGATCCAGAAGAGTTTGTAAATTTCTCTACCACACAAACACAAAACTAAACCCCCCTCAAATAATTTGGCAATTGCTGTACAAATGTTGTGATTCAAAGTTATACACTACTCCACTAAAAGAAATAAGAAACACAAACCATGTAAGGACTTGTTTTTACTACTAACTGTGTTTATATGAACAGCAACACATTTCATGAGCGTGCACAATATTGTGTGATCATATGGCTGCATGTGTTTCTGCCTGTCAATTAATATTTTTCCCCTTCTTTGATGAAAGAGTATTTTTAGTGCCAAATTAATACATATGGATAGGTTTTCCATTACTGACTCCTCCGTTTAAATTTTTGCGACTTTTTTTTTTTAGAACAGACCACTTTTCATAAATATATTTTTACGATGCTTGGTTAAGACTAGTGTTCACTTTGCATACGTTTCAGAAGGCTGTTTTATTCCCGTATCTCAGAGGGAAAGGCAGTGTTTACATTCCTGCCTAGTAACACCTCTAGTGGCAGTTACTCAGACACCACTGGAGATTCTTCTATTTCAGTGCTACACATGGCACAGTACCTACATTCAGTGTCTCCACTCTCTGCATGGAGACATTGAAAGTTCCTCAAAGAGATGTATTCATTCAATTCAGCTCTATGAGATGCTGACTGGCGCAGTGCAGCATTTTGCCACACATGCGCTATAGCCTTCCAATGCTTTTCTAAGGGAAAGGATTAGATTGGCTGAGATCGTCAATACCGATTAGATCAGCCAAGGAGACGGGGTCAGTTGTCGCGAGACCAGCACAGAGATGGAGAAAATGTACATTTAAAATCTTTTTACTCCGTTCCGAGGGGAACCAACTACCTAAACATGTACATGTTTGTATTCCTAACACTACGGTGTTCAAGTAAGTGATGAGATGTTATTTGCAATTATTTTTAGAAGAGTACACCAAAGCCAGAGTGTATAACATGGGCCATTTCTGATCCTTGTAGCAACAGGTAGCTGTTGTGTAATCTGCTCATTGTTTACAATGTGCATTTTTAGTATTATAAGATACTAAAGCAAAATATGTCAAGCCTCCCCCAATATATTTCCACAGATTAATGCTCTATTTTCAACTTTACAATTTTCCATCTGAATGCATTTTTGTACAAAAAGTAATGCATTTAATGTTGTTTAGGTAATCTATATTCACATCTGAGATAAGGATGGTAATGTTTAAATGGTCTAGTCATTGAAAGTGTTTGTTCTTTCTTACAGCACAACCAAAGGCGAGTGAGCAGACGAAAAAGCAGGGACATGCTGTCCTGTGTATCTGAGGTGGCCGTGTACACTGGAAGACAACTGGACTTCAGAAGACCCCAAATCCGGATCATCACCATCATCTCGCGTAATGTACCGAGAGAACTTCCATCACGAAGGAAACTATGCCCAGGTCGAACAGAGGAGCCCTGTTGGGAAATAAAGGGTGGAGGTTAAAAATAATTCTAGTGGGCTATAAAATGAATTTCTACATACTGTGTAATGTATCATTAGGGATCTGAAACTGCATTTGAAAAGGGCAGAAGTAGGGGGGAGTTTAAAAAAAAAAATAAAAGTCTTGGATCAAAAGCATATCCTAGTGGAGCAATGCAATGATCATTCCACCCACACAGGGATGATCGTTTGAATGGCCCTTCAGTAAAGTGGTTAGGTTCAAATAAGGAAAGTAAATTGAAAGGTACCTGGTTAGGAAGGCTGGCTAATAAGTACAGTACGAAGTCCCCCAGCCACTGAATTAACTGTTGCAGGGATTGAAGAGTTGGCATGTCCAGCACAAACTCCTCAGTCTTCAGATTAATCATCACTTTGTCTATATCTGAAAAGAGACAACACTTATACCAATTCTCAACATAGGATAAAGGTAATCACAACAAAAAGCAACACACTTACCAACATCTGTGAACTTGTTGCAGATCTCAGTGAGTCGATCCCCTGGACTCTTGTCAGGAGTGTTAAGAAAGTGGGGGCGTAGCAGGGATTTCAAAGTACAACTAATGGAAATAAGAAATAGTTTGGCATGGTAATCACACACTCGAGTCACAGTACTTGGGGACAGCTTGCAGAGGGATGCTTTCATTGCCAAGATTCTGGTGGAGAGGACCTAAAAGTAAATGTAAATTAGAAACTTGGAAATGGTGCAAAATACTCTATGCTTACATGATAATTGCCATAACTATATGGGTTTACATGTTCCAAAAATACCACAAGTAAATCGCTCACCTGTTGGAGGGCTGCATTTTGTCTGGTGTATTCTTCATGCAGCTTCTCTACCAGGTTGTGCACCATGCCTGGTAGAACATGAAGAAGAATATCCCACCAGTCATATCCAGTAACCATACAATATTCAAGAAGGAAAAGCAAATGACGCAGAGAAGTGGTCATATCCAGAGGGTGTCCCATTGAGGGAGAGACTCGCAACATGCTGAGCTGTGAAGATATGGAGTTATGGATAATTCAAGTGATTTACCAGGATATCCATCCTATAAAATGTACCCTTTGCAGAATTACACATCCTGTACATAATACAAGTTATTAATATTGTCATTCATATAGCAAATTTACAGGAACGATAGGTTGAAGAGGACCCTGCTCAAGCAAGCTTACAGTCTATAGGTTTTATCTATTCATTGTAACAGATGCACACATTACTTTTTGCAGATCTACTTATTTAGGGTTATGATTCAGAAAACAGTAACATTGTATTTATTTCACCAGAACTAGAGATCTGAATATGTATAAAAATTGTTAATAAAAAGCCCCAAAAAATAAATAAACCAACACTTAGGATGTGCAGGCGCCCAGAATGTTCTAAAACCGTATTTTAAAAGAACAGTATTTTTAAACTAGCAAGTGGTACCTAGAGGTACTATAGGCTACAATGTTATTCTGTCCTAGCCATGTGCACTTCTTAAAGCACGTCCTACAATGTCCTATAACGTAGTGCCAGCATTAATTTTACTCAACTGACCTTGCCTTGTGTGTCTAGTCCAACCAACGCCAGGGAAGTCCACGACATTTGCAAAGCCTTGAAGTGAACGCATGGGGTAGGTGAACGCTGACGTTTCAGACTTGGCTCTTCAGAAGGTCGCATAGAAGAGCCAAATAGAACAGCCATTGTCTGCAAAGACAGTCTGTGTACAATATGTACATTGCCATCGTGGAAGGCCAATGCCAGGCCTGCAGGAAAATAAAAATAAAAATAATTTAGAATATTAAAAGGTATACTCGAAGCACATGTCACCATGCATCCATTAAAATACATTGACAAAAAAACAAACAAAAAAAAACTCAGAAGGAGAGCCCACCTCCTCTGACATGCCTGAATCCGCTACTCTTCCCTTGCATGCCATAGGTACAGATGTGAATGAAATATTTAGAATTTGAATCCAAATCCCAATAAAGTCAAATGCAAATATACACTCTCTATGGCAGTAGCAGGTGAACCGTGCCTGATGAGGTGGACAACAATTGCTGTGTTTTAAACGACTATTCCATTAGCATGAAGATACGGTTATGCTGCCAGCATACATCACAAATAGCACTTTGTGTGTATGTAATAACAATTTTGCATCTAATTTTACACATACCTAAAAAACGGTGGACGGTGGACCTACAGTTAATTGCAGGGTACACTATAGCTTTAGGAAAACAGTTTTGTATTTCTGCCGCTAGAGTATTCCTTTAAGATGGGAAGGAACACACTGAGCAGTTGACTCACATGAACTCATTCTATTAACCCCTTTCATCTGCAACACACTCGGTGAGGGGAGAACCAGTGAGAAGTCACTAAATTTATCAAAATGATTACAAGTTGTTTTGCTTTACAACCATATTCTGTTTGCAAGTATAGCAAAAAATAACTGCTCCCAAGAGCCTGTTGAAATATAACAAATTAGTACCTGGAAAAATACAGAATCTGGATATACAGTATGAAGTTTCTTTAAGGAAATATAAACCATAGCTATACAATTTTCTCTTCAATATTCATAGGAACAAATAGAGATGCAGCACAGTAAAGTTACATATCTCACCTAGACCAGGATAGAACTTGGTTTCATTTGCCATCTTAATGTCTGCACTAGTGAGGGAGATAGGTAGCTTTGGCAATGCTACAGCAGAGACCCGCTCAAGCTCATTGGTAGCTGAGAGAATGCGCCACTTCAAGATCATTGGCTGCTTATCACTCGCTAAAAGAGAGGAAAAGAACATAGATCATAGAAGATCATTTAAAGGAAACATCAGAAATGTGAAAACAGGTAAAGAAAAAACAAACAAACATGGAAAATGAGAATTAGCATGAGTACGTACCACCTGGGGGCAACTGCTGAAAGATATTATTTAGGGGAAGTCCTTCTTTTCGCAGAGACCAGCACTCTGCTACACTGGAACATTGATTGGAGGCACAGAGGAGAACCTGCCACAAAGAGAGTGATTTGTAACACTGCATATAAGAGTAACTTACTGAAGCTTTTCACACTATAACAAAAATTGTTCTACATCACATTTGTGCAATGTCTTCCTTTAAAAGAGAACTGTTACATAAAATAAATCATCACCACCCAGACCCACAACATCTAGAAGCGACACAAGTCGACACTGACACAACTCGATACCACAGGCAGAAAACAAAATAAGAGAAACAGAGGCAGTGAGCGGCCCACGGAGGACCTCTCACCACGGCACAACCCACACGTAGATGATAGGGGATAGGAAATTTGCCTCCATCGAACGGGAAACAAAAGCAACCAGCTATGAATACAACTAAAAAATGAACAGGGAGCAACACACACACACACACACACGTACAGACAGACCTACTACGAGACAAGAGAAATGAATATGGGCAGAACAAAAACGGTAAGAGGCCTAAAACACACACACGGAAGGAAGCAAGGCACATACCCTGAACTTACACACACAGAGCTAGACAAATCAACTAAATAACGTAACAAAGCAAGGACCACCTAGCTCGCCGCTTTGATCAGAATACCTCTACCTACTAAGCGAAGGCGAACTCGCCTGATAAGGACTAGAGGAGAAACTAGGGATGAGGGCCTGACGCAGACAGCACCCCAGTTGGGCAGGATTAAACATAAAACATGCCCTGACACTTAGCTAGGAGTTACGGAACGCATCCAACCCCAATTGGATAATCATTGACTTCCCACAAGACGCACAGACCATAATCACGAACGGACAGCCCAAGCTTTGTTTAACCGACACAAAATGAATAACATTGAGCGCACAAGTAACCAGTTGGGGAACACCAAACCAGCTCTAGCTGCGAACCCAGTACAAAAACACCGATCAGATAAATCCCGGAAGCCACACGTGCTATGCGTAAACCTACAGAACTAGTCTGTAGTGACAACTCCAACACCGACCTCATTACACACTACGACTCATGCGAAGTGTTCGGTATTTGTGAATATGTCTATTGATGTAGGAATAAAGTTGTAAATTGAAAATACACATATGCATTCTTACCACTAACCCTCCCAGCCCCTCTTGATCCTTGTAACATATTCTACACACTTAATAGTGGGAGCACCACAAGGGACCTGTGTGTCCTTCAACATTGCGGGCCTGCGAGCTCAGATAATTATGTACATCACCTGTGTTTAACTTTTGACTACACCTTTTACTTGTTATTGAATTACAAAAAAAAACAAAAAACCTTTTTTTATTTTTTCTGGGGATCTGCGAATCTCACGGATGTATAAATACTGCATAAACAAATAAAACTCTGATTTAAAAAAAAAAAAAAGAAAGAAACCATACTACTCAACGAACACTTTAGTATAAAAATGCCATAGGTAGTATTTGCTCAATATTTAACAAATTGTAATTTTCTAACCGGGTTATGGTTTGAAGCGGGGGTGGGCGGCGTTTGGCGCTCGGGTGTTGTGGACTGCACTTTCCATGGTGCTCTCACAGGCATAATGCTTGCAGAGCATCGGGGGAGCTGGAGGCTTCCTTCCTGTGCTTTAACGCAAAGTAACAAATTCTACACTGACTTTATGACCTGTATTTTACCTATGATTGTGTCCTGAATTTGATTAACTTTGTATTGCACACATTAAATACAATTATTTTTACGTATCTTTGCACATTAAATGTAAACTTATTAATGAGTACAAATTTATCGATATGAAATTTGCGATAATAAAACAAAGCAGAATAATCAAATTTAAAAAAATAAATAAATAATCGTTGCTGTAAAACATCTATAACTTTAACGGACATCATTTTATCCTCAAAAAACAAACAAAAAAACCCAAAAAAACTGTATTTGAAACAATCTGTTGCATTTTCTTCTCACACCTACCTGCTCGGACATATCTCGGGCTAGGAATTTGAGGTGTGTTACAGCAGGGAACTTGTCCTTACGTCCCGGGTCTGTGGTACAACGCATGAAAAGGGAAGGCAGGATCTCTGTATCAATTTTGCACTTCTCACTCACAACAGAAACACACACTTTGTAGAACTGCACAGGGGATGTGCTGCTCCCATCACAAGTGGCCACAACAATGTTTCCACCACCTGTGAAAGCAATGTCCGCAAGTGCGACACGACATCGTAGTCGGCACAGACTCTCTGTTGCTGTAAGCACTTGACCGTTGGGTTTCAGCAGAGATACTGTTACCAAGCCACTTATCGTCACTGCAATCCATCCTTCCATAGGCTTCCCTCCAAACAAAGTGAGGGATGGAGAAAATTTGACACGAGAGAACTTCTCTCCAAAACTGGAGACACCAGACTGCAAGGTTAAAGGTAAAAACAAAACATTTACCACATAATAAGAGAAAAACAATTTAATGGGAAGTGACCGATAAAAAGTATAGAAATATAAGATGTGGCATGGAATTATGATTTAATTGACTAATACTTTATAATTCTTGGCTTACCTTCTCAACATGTAGAGCCAGTTTTACTCCATTATGCAGCCAGGAGAGAGCCACAATAGGGTCACCATCTACTTCGCTACCCACCAGGCTCTGCCAGCTGTTGGCCAAATGATCAGTCATTCCCCAACACTTAATTCGCCCATCTGCATCAGCCGAAAGTAAACGGGATCCTATGATTCCAATGAAAGTACAAAAAAAGTTATGGGACTTAAGTATACCGTGTCTGCTCTACATTACACTCTTTATTATTACATACAATCTTGATCATCGATAGATTTACCCTGCAGTCTTGCATAATCCTCCATAAGCCTGTGTTACACACTCACATATTTGTGAGAGTACAGCACTGACGCAGCTCCTGGCTGATGAAGTGCAAGGAGTTGAAGAAGGAAGATGGCATTGCCCACAAGGAAGAACTTCAGGTAAGAATATATACCTTAGGTTTCGCCTCATGGATCTCACACACAAAGCAAAAATGTCAGCTTTGGGGTCTTTGCAAAGATCATCATAAGTAACAGAGCAGCTTTAACAAAACACTCCAAACATCTAAAGCAGTTAAGGTTGCAGAAGTACTTTATGTGGGAGGAGTGTGCCCTCTTTCCATTTTACAATAAGTGCAGATTTCAAATTAGCACTTTGATAATTTAACCTTGTTACACCCCTTTGCTGTCAGACTACTGGTACTTTTTCTTCCTGGTAGTATAGCTCAGTGGTGCTCAAAGCAACACACAGGCAATTGCTCACAGCACTTGCCTTGCACAAACTACTAAATGAGCTGCATTAGGAAGTATGTGACTGAACAGCCACAGAAGGTCTGGGCTGGAGAAAAAGTTGGGGAGGGGGGTGTGAAAATGCTGTATTCAAAAATATTGCAGCTTTTGCAAGTTGTTTTTAAATACATATTTTTGGCAGTGGATATATACGTATTTTGGCAGTGGAGTGTCCCTTAAACACACACACTCGCTTACAAGTTCTGTAGCTAGATGCATTTCATACCTGACTGATCCCATTCTAAACTGGTAATAACTTCTTGATGGCCTGAGTTGATTGAATAAACATCCCATGGATGTTCTGTATCCAGTATGTGAATCATGTGAGTGAGATCTGAAAGAAATGACAGCTCAGGAAATCTGCCAGTAGTACTTGAAACAATGTGTAAGGCAAGACATTCATTAGACATCTTACTGATACATTTGTGTTTTATATATTGTCTTGTGGTACAGCCTTTACTTCATGTGAATAAACAGGGGAGTGGCAGGCTAGACAATCTTCGGAACTCCAGATGATGTGGACTTCATCTCCCATAATACTCTTACAGTAATAATGCTGGCAAAGCATCAGAGGAGATGTAGTCCATAACATGCTAAAGGTTAAATACCCTTGAAATAGGATATCTAAAAGGGCAACTCTCTCCTTTTCACTTTGTTTTTTTAAGTTGTATTACATTTAATAAAACAGTGATTCGTTTGTTTAAATAATGTATATGAGAAAACATATTGAGAAAATTGCAGTATTAAAAAAAAATAATATTTTTTTTTTTAAACTAAGCAGCCATGTTTGATCAATCTCTATTGTTATCTGACCAACTGCTGCTCAACCTAACTGGTCTGCCTAGATTGAGAAGCAGTTGACCAGATAACAGCATGGTCACAGTGACATTTTCTCAAAAAAACACCAGAAAAAAAAAAACATAAATAAATTGCTTTTTATTAAATGTAACAAACTTTTAAGAAATGAGATCTGAAAATATGATGTCCTTTAATAAAAGGATAAGATTTATCAAAAACGGTCTTGCTGAGAAATGACACATACAAATAAACTCTGTCATCTGCACAAAAATGCTCCATTTAAATTAATAGTTATACATCAAATGGGCTATGCATATCACCAAGTAACAATTAGAGATCAAAATCTCTAGTCATCTAAATTACACACCGGTAAAGGGTTATTGCACCATAAGCATATGCTTATTCCAGTAAATAATTATTAATGATATCCACTTCAATACATTACATTCATATTTATTTTATTTTTTTAATTGAAACAGTTTAGTAGATATACCACCAAATAAAACAAGCATGTCATTCGCTTTGCATGTCTTATTTGAGAGTATGTGAAATCTTGCAACAGGGACAATCTAGTATTTGTATCCAAATATAAATATGTGAATTCCTGGTCAGTTTTAAGTCTACTGAATAACCCTGGCTTACAAAACAACAATGATCTAGTTGTACTGCAGAACAATAAAATTATAAATCTCTAAAAAATAAAAAAGGCAGATGTTGTACCTTTCTCCTCCTCATTGCGCTGATCTGTGGTAAATGCAACCAGATTTCTACATGACCAGGCGCACACCAGTGGGATAGATGGGCAATGATTGGTCCGAGGACGCCGGTCCCACTCACATATGTATGCCACATCCATTGTGGCAAAAGCTTATGTAATTATAGAGAAAAATATATATAGACGTTTATATACTGGAACTTTTACTTAGATTTAGAAACATATAAGCACCTAAAATACAAAATTATTAGGTTAAGACAGGCAATAAGAAATGCAAAATGATTGTGTTAAGGGGGAACAATAAGAAAGAGAAGAATATATGAGCTGGTGAACTAAGTTTCCCATAATGCTCAGGCAGCCAATCTGACTGACTATTACTTAAAATGCAGTCCAGGGCACCAGCAAGGCTATTCAGTAGAGTGTATTAATTCTAAGTGAATATCAAACGTTCTCACCTTAGTGATTAATCCTGCAACAGAACCAGGGATAATCACAGACTGGTTTATTGAGTGAAGGAAGAAAGCACATAAACAAAGATGTCCCTAATATGAAATATAAATCTGGCTAACTGAGAAAAATTGAATCAACAAGCAGAAGCAATGCAGGAAGGTTGATGTGAATGGTTAAAGCTCTTATAATAGAGAGGAAAATGAAAACAGGAAAAAGGTAATCACAATGAACTAGTGATTCACACACACATGGATACAGTGAAACAGAGCAGCAGTGGGAATCAGAGCGATACATACGGTGTTATTAAAATATAGTCAGTAAAAAATCAGATGGAAACGTGAAACAGGTAAGAAAAAGCATGTAAAGAGAAACTCTTTAAACATACAGACTTGTGCTATTCAATATCTATCAGGCTCAGGCGACCGTCCACGGCGCACACCGATGACCTCATAGGCAATTAGCATATTGTCATTCCCGGCATGCATCGCGGCAGAACGTTCATTCACGTTCGCCGAACTCAAACCGCTTTTAAAGAACACCTGGAAAATAATTAATTGATTGGAATGGGCGAAAGTTTTTTGACCGTAATGAGTAATGTATGTAAAGCGTTTAGAAATAAATAGTTATCACCGGAAGGTTAATGTATTCGAAATGTCAGGCTATATATACCACTTGGATGGGCTAGGAGTTTGTGCTCGCTTCGGCAGCACATATACTAAAATTGGAACGATACAGAGAAGATTAGCATGGCCCCTGCGCAAGGATGACACGCAAATTCGTGAAGCGTTCCATATTTTTGTTTTGCACCATGTATATAGTACTGCTTTCGCTAAATCCTATCACTTTTATTACTTTCAGTGGCAACACCCAAATCAGTATGCCTGTCGTGTGTATATCAAATCAGTGAGAGTGTGTGTCCGTTTTCTCTGTGTGGAAATGTGTGCAAGTGATTTGTGTGTGTGTCTGTGTCCTATGTGTAACTGTGTGTGCCAGTGTCAATTTGTCAATGATAGGGCAAGATGTTGCCATTGTCCCCCCCTATGGCCTCCCAGTTCCTACCTCCGGTCCGACACCTGGAGGGGTCCGGCGGCTTCTATTGTGTGCCGCCAGTTGCGGGAACCCTCCGCTCCGTCTGCCCGGGAGGCGGGAGCTGGGATGCGGAGGAGGGGGGGCAAGTAAACTTCAGTCTGCAGCTCTACTAGGTGCAGAGCTGCAGACAGTGGCAGATCTACCGTGGTCGCAGATGTCGCAACTGCGACCGGGCCCGTCACCCTGTTGACCCCTGCGACCAGGGTGCCTGCTGGCCATGTTGTGCGGCCCTGGCCTGCACGGTATAACTGCCGGGGCTGCACATTCAGTGGCTCATGCTGTTAGGGTCACCAGATGGCAAGATATTTCCAGGGGGCCCGGCCATCGCTGCAGCGCTTTTACAGCGTGACCGAACCCCCTGTGATGAGGTCAGAGCTGGGAGGAAAGAGAGGAGGGAGGCAAAGTGGAAACTCTGATTCCCATCAGCCTGAGCCACCACTGGACCCCAGAGAAGTCACCCTCCTACACCTAAAAGGTAAGAAACCTAAAAGGTAGGAAACAGGAGGATGACTAAACCATTTTGCATGTGTGTGTGTTTATGTGTATATGTCTGTATGTGTCTGTGTGTGTGTTTCTATGTGTATATGTATATCTGCCCTAGGTATCTGCATGCGTGTCACTGTTTGTATCTGTATGAATGTCATTCTGTGTATCTGAATGTTTGTCCTTAAGTGTCTGTGTGTCTATATGTGTATCTGTCTGTATGTGTGTCTGTGTATCCGCATGTGTGTCAGTGTATCTGTATGTGTGTCACTGTTTCTATCTGTAGGAGTGTCATTCTGTGTATCTCACTGTGTCATTCTGTGGGAGTAGGAGTGTCATTCTGTGTGTCTGTGTATCTCAGTGGCGGATCCGGGGGGGGGGAGGGGGGCAATGGGGCAATTGCCGCACCCCCCGAGAAAACCGAGGGTCTCCCTCTCCCCTGCCAGCACATGCAGGCACCAGCCCTGCAATGTGCCTTCGCGGACCGCAGAGGAGATCAGAGATCTCCCTCCCCGGTCCGTAGGCACTGTGCTGGCAGCCGGCGTACAACCTTCACACACACACTGCTCACACACTGTCCCCCTCACACACACACACACACACTGAACCCCTTACACATTGCACCATTCACACACACCACATCTCCTATGCCCTACTACAGCCCCATTTCCCAGCAGACCTCAGGTAAGTTGTCAAACTGTTCTTAAACGGTTTGACTACTTACTCTGGGAGGGGGTTCAGGCACTATTGACACCATAACCACTACACTGAGCTCTAGTGGCTATTGTGTCTGGATTATTTCTTTAAATAACCAACAAGTGCCCCTCCCGAGATCAGGCTCTGGATCCGCCACTGGTGTATCTGTGTGTTAGTTTGTGTGTCTGTGTATTTGCATGTGTGTCAGTGTGTGTATCTGTGCGCCTGTATCTGTATGTGTGTCTGTATTAGTCTGTATGTGTGTTCGTGTATGCATCTGTAAGTGATATATGGTGTGTATCTCCATGTATGCCATGCATGTATGTATTTATTTATGTATGTTTTGTCTGTTTATCTGCTTGTGTGTCAGTGTATGCACCTGTGTGTCTTTGTAACTGTCACCCCACCACACACTGTCACCCCCCCTTTATCCTGCCACACTCACAATAAATCCCCCAATCCTGTCACTCACCCATGGCATGCTAACCTCCCATCACTCTGCCATGTTACCCCTATAACACTCACCTTTTCTAGCACTGTCACACTCACCCTCCCAATCCTGTCACATTTATTCTCCATCACTCTGTCACACTCGCCCCCTTTCACCTGCTGTTGTTGTATTCCTTTAAAAAAAAAGAAAGTCTCAAATCTTATTTTTAATACTCATGTATTCTTATAACAACAACATAATTAATGATACAACATAATTAATCTTACTGGATTTGCTGCATTGCTCAGGCACATACTGTGTAAAGGGTATAAAAACCCTTCACATAAAGAAAATAAATAGAAAACATAAGAAAATCATGATTGCTCCCATTTTAGAAATTCAAGTACTGCTAAGGAGCTCTTGAACAGAGGTGGACAAAAAGGTCACATCCACAGAATTTGTGTACAGAAAGCAAAACAAATTGGCAAAACAGTAGAATTAAAAAAGGTCACATTTCAGTGAACGCAGAATTAGAAGATCCATTTTGTAAGACAGTATAAAATGCTACATAAACTGTTGATGATTTATCTCTAAGTTAATTCTACAAAGAATGAAAACACAGGACTCTGAAGCAGCAGGGGGGAGCAATGGAACATTGGTAGGAGCTGCCAATCTGATGTTCTCTATAGAACGTAGCAGTATTTCGCCAGCAGTGCCAGACAGCAGGTATCAATCCTTCCAATTTGAGACGAAGCATGGCAGAACCAAAAGAGAGACTGTGTTTGTTTGCCAACTGAATATTTTTCTCATGTCTAAGTAGGTTACAAGTAATTGAAATGGTATTTACAAAATTGGTTTTCTGAGAGACATGGTAATTATCCTTGTTCCGAGATGCTCATTTCAGGTTAGGGAATAATTTTAAAATGTCATTTGGTCTGAGTAATACAGACAACATGTGTAAAGATCTACATAATGCAAATCTATTATAGTAACTTCTGCATCAAAGACATATGAAAAGATCTTTCGATAGGTGTATGAGTAAAATAATTTTATCAAAAAAATTAGAGTATCATACTGGGATATTTCTTCCATAACACAAAGAGAATGTAAGTACTAAATAAAGTTATTTTTTTTTTCTGTTTTTTTTTTCTTTGTTCCTGAATTCATAGACTATATGTATGTGAACACCAGACCATCACACCTGTATGGGCTTGTTGGATATCACATTCCAAACCCATAGTTATTAAATGGTCACTATAGGCACTGTAACTGCCTTTTCTCTTTGTAGTGGTTATAGTATCTGTGTAGTCCCCTGGTTCTTTCCTTCCAATAAGAGTCAGATTGTTTTTAATGTTTTGATGCAAAATGAGAGACTTCAGCAATCTATCCCCTCTGTGCTGCTTGTGTTAATAGTTAACTGTGATTTGCCAAGTGTGTCAGTTGACTGCTTTCAGTCTGTCACAGTGCCTATTGCTGGTATGAATAAGTATGGCTGGAAGGAAATTTATAGTCTTTGCCTTAGCCAGTGGGGGCTGGACTGTGAGTGGCCAAGGATCCTTGTTTAAAGTTGCTTGAGATTTAATAATGGAGGGACAGCACAAGGGGACTCCAGGCGTTACAACCAATTAATTGAGATCAAATGGTTATAGTACAGTATCCTTTTAATATTTAGTTGGCGCCACCATTGCTGTCATAACAGCCACACTCTTCTGGGGCTTCGCAAAAGATTTTTGATTGTGTCTGTGGGAATGTGTACAGTCAAAACAGCATTTGTGAGCTCATGCAAGATCTGGCTTGCAATTGGCATTCCAATTCATCCTAAAGGCACACCTCCCAAGTGTCCCTAATTTAGCTCCAAATCCCTCTGTCCCACTTTTTTTTTTTTTTTTTTAATTCTTTATTTTTGTAGTGCAGTTATTAGGTACAAACAGGCTTGAGGTACCCCAACGGCATTCCTCGAGCTTTGTGACATGTTTCACAAGTGGGGTTAAGATAAGCAGTGCACATTTTTTATATAACAGGTACATGCGAAAACATTAAGCTTTTGTTAGTGTATGTTGCATTGAGATGACAGTAGTTGCTGTGTCTAAGATGCTTTCCCAACCCTGTGCCGTAGAAAGCGGAGCGATGGATGTCAGGGATCTGCGGGCGGCTAGGAGGGGAGGCTGCACGCCACTTGCAGCACTCACCCTCAGTCCGTCGCCGCCCGCGGTCTCCCCTCGTCTCACCTGTTGGCGAGCGGCGTCTCCTCTCTGCTGCTCGCCGCTCGCGTCCTCCACGCCCCCCAGCGGCTGCATGTATAACGCTGCACGCTGGGAGGTCACTAAATTATGCAAACGCCGGGGTCACATGAGTGACCCGGCGTTAAAGAAACAGTACCACAATCACAGTGGGAGGTATAGATATCCCCCACGTGTGATTGTTAATTCTGATTGGAAGTTATCCAATCAGAATTAAACCAAGGGTATTTATACTTACCTTTCCTGTTCCTCAGTGCCCTGTTGTGGTCTTGTGATACCTGTAGTGCTGTTCTCTCGTGTTGCTCTCTGGTTTCCGATTATTTGGCTTGTTTTTCCGATTAGCCTGTCTTCTCCACTCCTTTGACCTCGGCTTGTTTCTCATTCTCCCGTTTTCTGGCTCCCTTTACTTGGCTTGTCTCCTGACCATTCTTAGTGTGCTTAGCACGGCCACTCTAAGGACCGGTATAGCACCCTTCCTCTCTGTGACCTGTTAGCGTGTTAGGTTCCGGAATCGTGACAATGGAGGTGTTACAAGTGGGCCCATGGTGTGGTGTGTCAGTGTATGAAGTGCCTGAGTGTGTGCTGAAGGTGTAGTGCCTGTGCTCGTGTTTTGGAGGGTTAACATAGAGATCCCAACTATTGCTTGTAATAAAGGGTGACTCATGGTTTACACGTTTTAAACAGGCTTATGTGAGTTCTAGTCTATTTTTCTCTGACAGGCTAGGCAGTCTGACCAAGCTTCGAGCATATGTATATATTGGCTTACTCCGGCAAGTTAGGAAAACATATTATGTTGAGAGCAATTATAAATTAGGCTATTCTGGCCAGCCAGGGAGACAGATCATGCCAAAAGAAAAACAAAACAAAACATTTATATCTTAGGCTATTCTGGCGGGCTAAGCAAACGCATCATGTTTAAACATTTATGCATTAGGCCACTCTGACAGGCTAGGGAAACCTCTAGCTAAGACCAACTGTATATGCAGTCATTCTGGTGAGTCAGGAATCGGCAGTGTCCAAGTCCTGGTGGCTGTCTCCCTTATTTTATCAAGGCAGGTAGGGTTTTGGTGGTAGCCTGTGGCATCCCGACTCTGCGCGTTCCGTGCCGGCTGTCAGCCCACTCCATTTCGAGGCTGGGTTGTAGAGTCCTTCGCTGCATGGAGAGAACCAGAAAGGAGGTGGCAAAGTAGTGGTGTCAGGTGGGCTCTCGCTTCTCCGATGTGCTGTAGCGTTTTGTGAGCTGAGAGGAGCTCCGTCGCTGATCGGCTGTCCGCATGTAGTGCCGTGTCTTCATTGCTGGTCGTGGTGCGGTGTGTCGCCATCTTGGTGCAGGGTGCAGCATTAGGTGTGTGAGACCGGTTCGCCGATGTGTCAGAGGTTCCCGCTTCCGTGCCTTGTTTGGCAGTGGGTTCCTCCGTGGTGCGGGAGCTGGCTAATTGCGTCTCCGTCATTTCCGCCTATTGCCGCCATGAGGTGAGCGTTGTGCTGGGATGCCTTGATGGGTGTTTACCGGTGGTCGTTGTGGGGTGTTGGTTTGCATGCGCCCGGTTGCTTTGCCGTGTATTGTGGGCGTCTGGGGACTGCATGTTCTCTTGCTGGTTTTGATGCACCCGGTGTCCGCCATCTTAGGTACAGTGCCACAGATCAGGCTGCTGATGCTGCTGGGTCCAAGCTGGCTTACCACTTTCGGGGTCACAGGGTGGAGGCCGGGATCACCCCCGCCGGCCCAGAGGGGGGGGAACAGGGCCAGGTCCTAGCCGGTCCGGTCCTCTGGCCGGGCACTGTCAGGCAGGATACCGGGGCAGCGGCTGTCCGCCCCGCTCACTGCCGAAGAAGGCCCCATCTGGAGCGGCAGTTTCTCCTGCAGGGGACTGCAACTCTGGGAGTCAGCCTCTCCCTGGGTCCAGTGGTCTCAGCACATGGAGGACCGGTCCTGTCAGTCTGCTGTCCCAGGGTAAATCATGCTTTAAGGGCTTATAGAGTGGGAAAGTGCAGGAGCTGAGGTTGCTTGTGACCATCCAGCTCGGCGGTCCGGCCCCGCCCCCCTCTGTCCCACTTTTACACAGTATCCATACTCACATTATCTTTAAACTACAATATATGTATTTAGAAATCAGTCTATGTAAATGAATTGTTCGTGATTAGTGATGTCCAGAACGGTTCGCGAACTGTTCGTCACGAACGGTTCGCCACGGACTCATCATTGAGTAAACTTTGACCCTGTACCTCACAGTCAGCAGACACATTCCAGCTAATCAGCAGCAGACCCTCCCTCCCAGACCCTCCCACCTCCTGGACAGCTCACTAAGAATGCAGCTTCAAAATGGATGCTGTCCAGGAGGGAGGATCTGCTGCTGATTGGCTGGAATGTGTCTGCTGACTGTGAGGTACAGGGTCAAAGTTTACTCAATGATGAGTCCGTGGCGAACCGTTCGTGACGAACAGTTCGCGAACCGTTCTGGACATCACTATTCGTGATATAAATTACATTTTAGTTGCATACATTGTTATTAGTAAATTACCTAATGCAACAGCCATGGCCTTCGCCACACTGCCAATCACACTCCTAAAATGAAAATTTCCCTCTTTGTTAGGATGTGAATTTACTTCCTAAAAAGCCTGTTAGGAAGTAATGGTATGTCCTACCATTCTATTGATACCTGAGTCTTCACTCTGTCAGCTGGAGTAATATTTAGCAGCCCTGGACTGACAATAATCCTTATGCAGATTTAAAAGAGAGTGCTGCATAAATCCCCACCGCTGTGAGATCACTCTCTTCCACAGTGATTTTCAGGCTGCATGTTTTCCAAGGGAGACCCTCAGGGACTCTGCATGCCCCCAGCTAGGTTTTGCCAGCTTCTCAGCACCAATCACAGTGTAGTGGACAGAGGAAGCATGCCAGAGATCTCAATCTTGTGGTCTCATGCTACAAATAGCCAGTAGGTGGCGGTCACAGACCACTCTGTACTGTTTTAACTTTATCATTATTGACATTAGCAGAGGGAATCCCGTATGGCTATGGCCATAGGTATGGGGTGCGTCGGGTGTGTCCAGACACACCCAAGTGCGACTGCTAAACAAGCGACAGGGAAGATCTCCCTTACTGTTGCTTGTGCTGTAGCTTTTATTTGAGCTGCCACTGCCTGTGACATGGAGGGCAGGCTGGGGGGATCGAGGACAGGCTGAGGACAGGCATCACCATCACCATGTTGAGGCATCCAGGTTTGGGTTTAAATAACCCTCCTTAGACTGTAATTCGCTGTTCTTGACCTGTGATCCCAAAACGTGCATGTGCGTCTGTGACATCACACGCACGTTGGCACCATCTTTAATGTGGGCAGAGGTAAGTCTCCTATTAAAACTGGAACTGCAGCGGCCGGCGTCTCTACTAACGCCGTACTCGCTGGAGACTGGGATAGAAGGAGGTCGGGCAGCGATTTGCCGTGACCAAGGTAAGTATTTGATTTTTCTGTCGGCATAGCTGCTATGTCTCAGTGCGGCCATGCTGACAGAATCGCGGGGAGATGTGACAGTTCGTGCCAGTGTCTGTGTGTGTGTTAAAGAGTGTTCAGGATTATGTTTGCAGCAGGGCCATGATAACAGCCACTCTGGGTTAACCAGAAAGCATGACCACTATGACCACCAGGAAGCATGACCATGGCCCTCAGGAAATTAAGATCATAGTCTCACAGGCCAAAGTTAAGAAGGGACAAAAAAATACATTTTATTTTAACAATTTTGATGTACACAACACATTCAGCTACCCACACCCACAGTAACACACATGACGTATATACCTACCCAGGGCTGGTGCATCCATAGGGCGGCACAGGCTGCCGCTTAGGGAGTACCAGCCCTGGGGGGGCGCTAGATTAGAGAGACCGGCAGGAAGGAAACGCACAGCGCTCCTTCCTGTCAGTCACTCAGTGCAGTGTTGCCAAGCGGAGCAGACGGCGGTACAGGAGCTTCGGTTTCCTGTACCCGGCCGGACTGACAGGATTTTGGCCTCACCTTTGAGCTCACATCCAGTCTGTTGCCAATACCTGTGAATTCCACCTTAAAAATTGTCCACGTCCACCCCATCCAAAGGAGTTTGTTCATGCTCTGGTAAATTCTTACATTGATTACTGTTATCATCTCCTAATTGGTCTCCCTTAAGACCTTACTGCCTCACTACAGTCTGTAATGAATGTTGCTGCCAGGCTGATTTTTCTCTCCTGTTCAAAAGAAACTCGTGTATACTACGATTTTGGTAATGTTTATATTTTATTCTTTAGTACTCACTATGCTATAAAGAATATAATATATATATAGCAGGAGGGGTCAGAACTCTCCATCGAGGAGTTTGAGGGACACAGGAGTTTGTGTGTCTTGTGACACACATCTGACGCTTGTCTTTGAATTCAATATCTACAAAGGGGTGGGGAAACAAAACGATGAAGGCAATTTAAATAGTCAGTCAATAACTACAGGCAATAAACAAGTAATCTGTTTCAATCATCTAGAGTTTGATTGACCAATAATCACATAGAGCTTCCACGCATTCCCCATTACTGCTTCAATAAGGATACAGATAGCAGATCTGCAGGTTTTGCAAACTAAGATTTCATATACGCCCAAAGAAAACATGCATGTAATTGTTTTTGCGTATCTAATAAGTTTTTTTTTTCTTTTAACAGAGTGTTACTTTAAAGGATGCAACCATGTTTTCATACAAGTGGCTTTGTGCAATACTCCATATAACATTTTAGTGCACTTTTCCATGCCCTATTATAATTCATCAAGTTCTTACTGACAGAGACAAGTGCGAACGTGACTCTGTCAGTATTGGGACACAGCATGCAACAGGACTCAATTTGATTTTCAAGGTTCTATAGATTTTCACAATGTTTGTGGATTGCCAAAATTATTTGGTTTGGTTATTAGTCCCTGTATTTTAGACATCCTGAACTCAATTTGTCCCTGCATATGGAATTATTGTCTGGCAGACGGAACACTGACCCCTTCACGTCGCATCTAAAACCAGTCAAGGTCAGTGTGAGGCTGACCTTTCTCACAAACTCGTCCTCTCAAACTCCCAGGACCCAATATGTGGGCGACCTTTAGAAGATGACGTAATCATGCTACAAACCACCAGAAAAAGTGTGCAATTGGGCAATGTGCTCACCCCAGAGATGAAGAGACTCTTAAACCCTTTCATTTTCTTGTGTCCTGGCATACTGCCTGCTTTTGGTAAGAGTACGCATACTACAGGATGACAAACCAAGGTTTACATAACAGGATCACTAGACACCAAAGAGTTACTTGTCCTTGAAAGCAAGACCTTTAGTTTCTGAATTTATAAAAATATATAGATATATTTTAAATACCAATCAAATAGATGAGGTACTTCAAAGAAATGTGCAGGGTGTTCACTGTCAAGATGAAACAGAATACAGTGTTGTGCTCAAAAGTTTGCATATCCTTGGAGAATTGGTAATTTATGTACCATTTTTATAGAAACCAAGAATGAGCAGGCAAAACACATTTCTATGATTTCTTATAGGATTCATATTCCACTGCAGGTTGTAACAGAATGACATAATCATAAACAGGGCCGGACTGGGAAGAAAATTCGGCCCGGGCATTTTTTAATTACAGCGGCCCACTCAAAAGGGGGCGGGGCCAGATAGGGTGTGTTTTGTCATCACCAATGACAAGCACGCCCCATCACAAAGTGAGCATGTTGGTTCAATGCTCTTCCAGGGTAGACCATGCGCAGAGCTCTGCTGAAGAGCTCTAGCATGAGAAAAATACCCTGTATTTGTTCTGCACAGCGCAAGCAAATTTAATAACATGCTTGCACTGTGTTTGCTTGAAATTTGTCTCTGGTGTCTCCATAGTTGGGATACCAGGAGACAAAAATGCCTGGAAAGCATATTGTGCAGTGTGTGTGAGGGTGCTCTGTGTGTGTGTGTGTGTGTATAAGGGGTGTAGTGTGTGTGAGAGAGGGGTGCAGTGTGTGTGTGAGTGATGGGTGCTGCGTTTGCGTGAGGGTGCTATGTGGGTAAGGGTGCTGTGTGTGTGATGGGTGCAGTGTGTGTGTGCTGTGTGTGAGTGGGTGCTGTGTTTGCATGAGGGTGCTATGTGCATGTGAGGAAGCTGTGTGTGAGGGTGCAGTGTATTCATGTGAGGAAGCTGTGAGTGTCAGGGGTGCAGTGTGTGTAAGTGAGGGTGTGTGATGTGCATGTCAGGGGTGCAGTGTGTGTGTGTGTGAGGGTGCTGTGAGTGTCAGGGGTGCAGTGTGTGTGCTGTGCGTGTCAGGGGTGCAATGTGTGTGTGTGAGGGTGCTGTGAGTGTTAGGGGTGCATTTTGTGTGTGCTGTGAGTGTCAGATGTGTAGTGTGTGAGTGAGGGTGCAGTGTGTGTGTGTGAGGGTGCTGTGAGTGTCAAGGGTG